TCCCTCGCACTCTCTCTTTCTTTGTCTTTCTCTCTTGCTCTTTATTAAATTTAAATGTAAAATTTAGTTTATGAAATGCAAAAATTGTTGATTGCTTGTAATTTTGTGATTGTTTGAATATTTGTAATTCATAATGTAATTTTTTTGAAATTGTAATGACGATAAAATCCAAACTGAGCATTAGCTCACTTTACAAAGAAATGGACTAAAAAATCACAAGCTCAATTCGATTAATTCACACCACTCCATGTTTTAAAATCCGTTTTTTCAGTAACACAATATTTAAATTGAATCAACTTTTTTGTAACCCATGTGCTGAAGTACAAAACTCTTATAGTATGCGTGGTTGCTATGGTATACATTGAAAATTATGTCTACATCAAAAAGCTTTATAGTCTATAGCAATCACAAACGTCAATGGGTTTGGTTGTTAAAAGAGCGAAACGATGATTACAGGAGTGAGAGATTTTTTGACCTAAAAAAGTATTATGTAAGAGTACGATGAGAGCGAGCGATTCATGCTAATGAATTTGATGCATTATGCAACAACTAAGAGAACTTGACATACCGGTGCCAANTCGGTTTGATTGTTTGCATATAATTGAGTATGCAAAAATTGAGCATTTCAGTCCTAACTATGACGAGATTGAAATTTTAGAAAACCTATTACTAGTTTTCAAACCTAAACTTTCTGTTTTTTTAGTTTGAAGTGATGTTGCGTCAGACCNGCTTCAAATTTTTTGTTTTTTACTATTTCATAGTCTATTAAAAAAATATATTTCATAGTCAATTTTTAGCTCTACTTCGAAATCAGCAAAACCCCCATTTGAAATCACCACCACCTTTAGAACAACCGCCGTCTGAAACCACCCCACCAACCAAAAGCCACACAACTAAAACCCCCCAATTTGTAGAAAGCCAAATCAGAGAGAACCAGTAGTCCATTGGAGCAGATGAGTTGAATTCCACCGGTGAATTTTTGGTATGACTCTCCCTCTGCTTCTCCCTTTCTCTTCTATCTATCTCAATATGTCACTGTCTCTCTCTATGTATTTTATAACTCTCTCACTCTCCTTCTCTCACAACTTCACTATCTTACTCTCTATTCAAAAAATTTTAAGTCTCTCTCTCCCGAAATTTTTGTATACTTTTTCACTCGCTATATGTATTTGTTATCTCTCTCACTCACTCTATCTCCAATATCTCTCTTTCACTCTATCTATTATCCCTCGCACTCTCTCTTTCTTTGTCTTTCTCTCTTGCTCTTTATTAAATTTAAATGTAAAATTTAGTTTATGAAATGCAAAAATTGTTGATTGCTTGTAATTTTGTGATTGTTTGAATATTTGTAATTCATAATGTAATTTTTTTGAAATTGTAATGACGATAAAATCCAAACTGAGCATTAGCTCACTTTACAAAGAAATGGACTAAAAAATCACAAGCTCAATTCGATTAATTCACACCACTCCATGTTTTAAAATCCGTTTTTTCAGTAACACAATATTTAAATTGAATCAACTTTTTTGTAACCCATGTGCTGAAGTACAAAACTCTTATAGTATGCGTGGTTGCTATGGTATACATTGAAAATTATGTCTACATCAAAAAGCTTTATAGTCTATAGCAATCACAAACGTCAATGGGTTTGGTTGTTAAAAGAGCGAAACGATGATTACAGGAGTGAGAGATTTTTTGACCTAAAAAAGTATTATGTAAGAGTACGATGAGAGCGAGCGATTCATGCTAATGAATTTGATGCATTATGCAACAACTAAGAGAACTTGACATACCGGTGCCAAATATATGTTCACTAATGATGCAATGAAAAAATAGAAAGGACTACGAATCAACAATAAAAACATGTCTGATGAGAGAATAATAAAATGATGGTGCATAGGTATCGATATTATATGGTCCAGCTAGCAACAGACTTGGTGGAAACTGCATATGGACAAGAGTTGACGCCAATTTAGCAAAATATTATATTGTCTAATGAACAATATCTATCAGATAATTATATGTTGGATGAATATTAACAATTATACTAAGTGGTAATCATTGTTAAGCAATCCTATAACTTTATTAGTGTTATAAGGGTAATATCATATCACCACTTTGATAGTATCAGGACATGTCATTACTTTATCAGTTATTATTATATCACAACTTTAACGGTATTAAGTCAAGTCATTATTTTATCAGTGTCAAGTTATGATATCATGTTAAATTTTTATATAATTTCATTGTAATTTAAATTGCACAACCGGACCTCTATAAATCATCATTCAAAATTGTGTACATCATAAGAAAAAAAAATGTTTAGGTGCACATTAAATAGACAATCTAATCAAACCATCGATAGTTCTTCATCACGCAATGAACAACATAGTTCATTTTCAACCAACGAATGCCAACGCTTGACTGACTCTATTGGATCCTACATGGATTCCAGTGGTGTAACGTAGTATGGACGAAAACGTGAGTCCCACAATGAGCTTATTGACACTTATCAATCATTTGGACACGTTGGATACGTAATTGTTAGACTTCCAACCGACAATTTGCTTTCGAATGCTCATATTGAACTCACACTAAGATGACAAAAGTTATATGACAAATGTTGTGAGCTTAAAATATATTGTTGTTGGCATGAACTAGCAGAACCAAAGGCACATTCGATTGATATATAACATCTACAAAACTCAAACAACTATGACGAGATCATAACAAGATTTTAAGGTGAAAATGATCAGATGCAGCATCGGTTTGATTGTTTGCATATAATTGAGTATGCAAAAATTGAGCATTTCAGTCCTAATTATGACGAGATTGAAATTTTAGAAAACCTATTACTAGTTTTCAAACCTAAACTTTCTGTTTTTTTAGTTTTAAGTGATGTTGTGTCAGACATTTTTTTTCATCAAGTTTAGTGTATGTGGTCAATCTCTATATTGTTATGAATATCAACCACATTATTAACAAATTATATTTTATGCACTATAATGCAATAAATTTATTTATTTTGATGCATAAGTTGATTTTTTTTCACAAAATTATTTTTAATGGTTATATGCACATAATTTATATAATTTTGGTCGACAAATGACATTATTCACCAAAATCTTATAACATTGTTTTGGAATAAACAAATTTTTTTAGTTAAAATCGAAAATTGAAGATATAACAAATTTTATCAAAAAATAAAATTATTCCNAACAATTATACTAAGTGGTAATCATTGTTAAGCAATCCTATAACTTTATTAGTGTTATAAGTGTAATATCATATCACCACTTTGATAGTATCAGGGCATGTCATTACTTTATCAGTTATTATTATATCACAACTTTAACGGTATTAAGTCAAGTCATTACTTTATCAGTGTCAAGTTATGATGTCATGTTAAATTTTTATATAATTTCATTGTAATTTAAATTGCACAACCGGACCTCTATAAATCATCATTCATAATTGTGTACATCATAAGAAAAAAAAATGTTTAGGCGCACATCAAATAGACAATCTAATCAAACCATCGATAGTTCTTCATCACGCAATGAACAACATAGTTCATTTTCAACCAACGAATGCCAACGCTTGACTGACTCTATTGGATCCTACATGGATTCCAGTGGTGTAACGTAGTATGGACGAAAACGTGAGTCCCACAATGAGCTTATTGACACTTATCAATCATTTGGACACGTTGGATACGTAATTGTTAGACTTCCAACCGACAATTTGCTTTCGAATGCTCATATTGAACTCACACTAAGATGACAAAAGTTATATGACAAATGTTGTGAGCTTAAAATATATTGTTGTTGGCATGAACTAGCAGAACCAAAGGCACATTCGATTGATATATAACATCTACAAAACTCAAACAACTATGACGAGATCATAACAAGATTTTAAGGTGAAAATGATCAGATGCAGCATCGGTTTGATTGTTTGCATATAATTGAGTATGCAAAAATTGAGCATTTCAGTCCTAATTATGACGAGATTGAAATTTTAGAAAACCTATTACTAGTTTTCAAACCTAAACTTTCTGTTTTTTTAGTTTTAAGTGATGTTGTGTCAGACATTTTTTTTCATCAAGTTTAGTGTATGTGGTCAATCTCTATATTGTTATGAATATCAACCACATTATTAACAAATTATATTTTATGCACTATAATGCAATAAATTTATTTATTTTGATGCATAAGTTGATTTTTTTTCACAAAATTATTTTTAATGGTTATATGCACATAATTTATATAATTTTGGTCGACAAATGACATTATTCACCAAAATCTTATAACATTGTTTTGGAATAAACAAATTTTTTTAGTTAAAATCGAAAATTGAAGATATAACAAATTTTATCAAAAAATAAAATTATTCCCAAAAATTTATTTAAAAAAATTTGTTTCACGTCATATTAGTTCATGATATTTTGTATTTCAAATACAAAAAAATTATTATTATTTATTAGCATTGTCGTTAAAGTCGATTGTGAGAATTTGAACAATTGAAAAAAAAAATGTGTGTTTTAAAACTCACTTTTTTGTTATCTCATAAAATATAGGATTAGAATTTAACTCTTGAAAATATTAAGTTTAAAAAAATTATCTTTTATACCACATAAACATCCTTTGAACTAACGTCTCTTACGTTGGGAGGAGGTTTTTAAAACAACTTAGGTTTAGGTTTAGGAATTACTTTCAAAATCACATGATTTTGGTATAACTCTCCAAAACCCGCTGGGTTTGAGTAAAATCTCATTGACATTGATGCAATGGGTAATATAATAACACGAAGAAATCTGTGTTCTGTATGAAACAATAATGGAGGCTGCGAATCTGAACAGAGCCAACCGATGGAAGAAGAGACACACTCATCGATTTTCAGTCTTCCCTCAATCTCTCCTCACCCTCATCCCCACCCTCCTCGTCCTCTCTCTCATCTTCTTCCTCTCTTACAAACACTTTGTTTCCGATTTTCTCCAGATGTCCAGAATTTCCCAACCCTTACAATGCAGTTCGCAATTAGAAGCTCTGGGAGATAAATTCATCTGGTACGCACCACACAGTGGGTTCAGCAATCAGTTATCAGAGTTCAAGAACGCTATTTTAATGGCTGCCATACTGAATCGAACCCTAGTTATCCCTCCTGTTCTGGATCACCATGCAGTTGCCCTCGGTAGTTGTCCAAAATTTAGGGTTTTGAGCCCCAAAGACCTGAGGCTTTCGGTTTGGAATCATATAATTGAGCTCATTCGGGGACGCAGGCAAGTGAATTTGCTCGGTCTAATCATATATGTGTGTTTATATGTATATGCAGTCATGTATATTCATTTATTTTCTTTGGCAGAGCTGTTAAGTTTCTCTAGATTTAATTTGGGAATAAAACATATTAGAAGAAGGGATTAACCATTGAATTTCTCAAATTTTATCTGGGTCTAAATGGGTTCTTTTTTAGTTTCAGTAATCTCACATATTTCAATGTTCTATACGTGTGTGGGGGTTTGTCTGTGAGTGTGGGTATACACATTCAAGTGCATGTAGGTCCTTGGAAAAGCTGCTAAATTTGCCCAAATTAGGTTCTGTGTTGATTTCCCCTTCCCCCTCCCCCTCCCAAAAAAAAAATATGATTAAAAAAAATAAGGTTCTGTGTTGATTTGGTCTGCTCAATNTGAATTTGCTCGGTCTAATCATATATGTGTGTTTATATGTATATGCAGTCATGTATATTCATTTATTTTCTTTGGCAGAGCTGTTAAGTTTCTCTAGATTTAATTTGGGAATAAAACATATTAGAAGAAGGGATTAACCATTGAATTTCTCAAATTTTATCTGGGTCTAAATGGGTTCTTTTTTAGTTTCAGTACTCTCACATATTTCAATGTTCTATACGTGTGTGGGGGTTTGTCTGTGTNCCATTGAATTTCTCAAATTTTATCTGGGTCTAAATGGGTTCTTTTTTAGTTTCAGTAATCTCACATATTTCAATGTTATATACGTGTGTGGGGGTTTGTCTGTGAGTGTGGGTATACACATTCAAGTGCATGTAGGTCCTTGGAAAAGCTGCTAAATTTGCCCAAATTAGGTTCTGTGTTGATTTCCCCTTCCCCCTCCCCCTCCCAAAAAAAAAAATATAATTAAAAAAAATAAGGTTCTGTGTTGATTTGGTCTGCTCAAATTTTCATGCCCGTAGTATCAATCATGTAACTCTCTCTGCCCCTTATTAATTCTTGGGAGAACTCAGAATTACTCATTGGGTTTTAACCTTGTTAGAATTAGGCTTCCAGGTTGTTTTATCTATCAAAACGAAGCATTAGTGTTTGGTTTCTTAACCTGTAAGAANTCTGCTCAAATTTTCATGCCCGTAGTATCAATCATGTAACTCTCTCTGCCCCTTATTAATTCTTGGGAGAACTCAGAATTACTCATTGGGTTTTAACCTTGTTAGAATTAGGCTTCCAGGTTGTTTTATCTATCAAAACGAAGCATTAGTGCTTAATTTAGGTAAGGTGGTTTTGGACTGAAAAAGGTTAAATGAAGAAGCTTGATTTAGGTTGGTTTCATATATTTTATTGTTGTGGTTGCAGGTATATATCCATGGCTGACATAGTTGATCTTTCAGAATTGGTGTCTACTTCAGCAATTAGGGTCATAGATTTTAGAGTTTTTGTATCTATGTGGTGTGGCATGGAGATAGACTGTGCTTACTCCGAAGACTCAGAAAAAGAATTGTCTATGTTTGAGAATTTAAGACAATGTGGATCTCTGCTATCTGGGAATAATGGTAACTGGAATAAATGTTTGTATTCTGTAGATGAAGATTGCAGAACAACAGTGTGGACATACCAAAAGAATGAAGATGGGGTATTGGATTCATTCCAACCTGATGAGCAACTCAAGAACAAGAAAAATCTATCATTTGTTAGGAGACGTCAAGACATATATAAATCTCTGGGACCTGGTTCTGGAGCTGAATCAGCCACTGTTCTGGCATTTGGAAGCCTTTTCACAGCCCCATATAAGGGCTCTGAGTCGTACATTGATATCCATGATGCACCAAGGGATCCACACATAGAATATTTATTTAAGAAGATTGAATTTCTGCCATTCGTCCCTGAAATCATGAGTGCAGGGAAGGAGTTTGCTCTTGAGACAGTTAAGGCTCCTTTTCTTTGTGCACAGCTTAGACTTTTGGATGGGCAGTTCAAGAACCACTGGGAGGCTACGTTTCTGAGGTTAAAACAACAGTTAGAATCTTTGAAACAAACTGGTCTGCATCCAGTTCATATATTTGTCATGACTGATCTTCCTATAGGTAACTGGACTAGAAGTTACTTGGGAAATTTAGTAAGAGATTCAAATGCTTTTAAGCTTTTTGTTCTGAGAGAAGAAGATGAATTGGTGAAAAGAACAGCGAAAAAACTTGTGGCTGCTGGATATGGCTTGAAATTTGGGTTTGTTCCTGAGGGATTTGATGGGATTGGGAAGCACTGCCATCCTCCGTTATTACCTGATATACTTCTGTATATAGAAGAAGCTGTTTGCAGCTGTGCTTCACTTGGTTTTGTAGGGACTGCTGGGTCAACCATTGCTGAAAGTATAGAGCTGATGAGGAAAAATGCTGCATGTTTGTTTAAGGTCTGACTTAATTGTAGTCGCAGGTTTTCAGTGCTACTAATTCAGATTCATTGCAAGTAGACCTAATCTTGCGCTTTTGGTGATTAAGTTGATTGGATGGAAATTGGTCACATTCGTCATGTGGTGTGAGCTTGAGAATTTTGCATTCCTATTCTTTTGAGGTGGAGGTGAAAGATGAAGTGGCAAGCAAGTATTTAATCGTCATTTTTTTCTACACGACTCAACAAATAAAAAACCAGAAGAGACTTGTGAGGAAATTTTGGTGTAATTAAGCTGCAGTTTCTGCGAAAAGATGGAGAAAGTCCAGGATTTGAATTTGTCCTTTCATTGATTCCACCAAAATTACATTGATTTGCCCTAAAGATTTCAGTACAGTTGGAATTGGTTATTTATCCTGTACAAGGTTCCCTGCTAAGCATTCATGACTGAATGGTTAAATGGCGAATTTGTAGGTTCAATTCCTACTGGACATTCCCTTCCAAAACCAAATCTTCTGATGTTGTTTCATATTTGAAGTGAGAAGATGAGATCATTTATAGGCTGGATGCTGCTCAAACTGATTTGGGAGGGGAAATGTTCATTGAATGCTTGCTTTCTTTATATGGGCAAGCAATCAAGATGGAGCATGTTTGATTTCTTCCATTGTGATGGAGTTGGGTATATAGAATTTATTTTTATTGTCCTGTCTAATGTTGTGTAGATTTTCATATTAGCCTATTTTGTTGTAATTTTCTTGATAGTAAGGGCATATAGCATAACACTGCAAGTTTTGCTATCCGGAACATGGAATGGCTATGGCATTCTTCTTGTGGCTTCTTTTCTGGTCATAGCTGTTGATTCCAGCGTAATAGCTGTTGATTTATTCCAGTGTTTTGTTAGTTTTGGTTCTTTCCCTTGTAATACGTCATATTCTAAATTTCACCCAATTCTAAGTCGCCCATTATGCATAGGTGGGGATTTATAAAATTTTTTTCTATATAATATAACAGAGCGCCCTGGCTGCAGAAAAGACACCAGCGGTTTAGATCCGCCACCTTATTTTTCAACTTACAGTTTAACATTTGATCATAGTGAATCTACCTATTTATATTTAATCCTTAACTACATTAAACACTTATTCATATTTTACCCAAAGTAAAAAAAATGTACTTTGCATGAAATACCCTAGTCCATTTATATAATGGGCCCCACTAAAATTTAGTGATGATGATTTTCAATTGAGAAAAATTGAATTAAGTATATGCAAGGTGGTCTGAATCTCCGAAGGGTTAGGAAAAAGTCAAACCCAATGGAAAAAAAAAAGGGAAAAAGATCTATTTCATGTACGAGATACAAAATATTTCAGGTATCACCTAATCATGTATAAATTTTTACTGTTTTTTATATACTTTTTTAGGCTAATTTATAATTTTTTAGGGTTTTTTTTTCTCGGTCCTTATGATAACTTGACCACCAAAAATTGTTACTTCAACTCTAAAAGTTGAAACATATCCCAAAAAGCTATAAAATTTTTATGATTGATCTTAAAATACTAGGATGAATCTCAATTTTTTTAGTTGTAAATAAACCTCCGAAATTTATAAACTTTGTTATCGTACTTTCTTCAATACGGAGTTGAGTCCTTTCATATAGATGTACCTCAGTTAAAATGGACACTTAACAAAGATGTCAAAAACAAGTTACGAGAAGCTCTAATCCACCCTAAAGTCATGCATTCGCAGAGGGTCCATGCTAACTAGAAATAGGCTTACCAAACCTATTGGTCCTGATTTGTTTTTGGAATGTTGAATGAAATCAAATTTTGAGTAAAAATTATAAAGGACACAAGTTTTATTTTTTAGTTTAACAGTCAGGAGTGCTCAGATTAACTTACGCATATTTTGACTAATCTTTTTTTTGGTTTAGTTAAAGACAAGTCATTCATGTCGGAACTAGGGTAATTTTATGAGAGATAAATCCCTCATAGTCTAGTCTCATAAGGTTACCAAAATTCAAACTTAAGATATTTGAGTTTACAACTCGTTCTTATTATTATTTGAACTACCCATTTGAGATTAACACAAGACAATGTCTCCCAAGGAACTCTAGCTTTGTTATATACTGCAATATGGGCACATGCGATGTGCAACTAAAGCATGAAAAAACAAGATAAAAAGCTTTATTCATACTTTTCGCCTTGTAAGTTTTATTTTGGTTCTTAAATTTTATTTTTATCAATTTTATTCTCCGATATTTAAAATATTAATGTAGTCAAATTAGAAAAAAAAAATAGTTAGAATTTTAACAGAAAAATAATGCACATGATGCCCCAGGTGGGAAAATATTCATTTTATACCCCAAAAATATAAAAAAATATTTATTTTATACTTTTAAAGATTAATTTCTTACATCCTTCAATACATTATGGCCTGTCGTTAATTTTTGTTGCTCATTATGTTAAAAATTACTTCATTGACGAAGAAGAAGCTAATGGTAGAACCATATTGTAGCACTTTTTAGATATTAAGGGTGAAATAAAAAATATAATTTTTAAAAGTACCAAATGAGAATTACTAAATCTTTCAACATATAAAGTACAATTTATTCAAATAAAATAAAAAAATGTGGTAATTGCATTAGAGATCCCCAAAGTATACAGTTTATCTCATTTGGTCTCTNGAGTCCTTTCATATAGATGTACCTCAGTTAAAATGGACACTTAACAAAGATGTCAAAAACAAGTTACGAGAAGCTCTAATCCACCCTAAAGTCATGCATTCGCAGAGGGTCCATGCTAACTAGAAATAGGCTTACCAAACCTATTGGTCCTGATTTGTTTTTGGAATGTTGAATGAAATCAAATTTTGAGTAAAAATTATAAAGGACACAAGTTTTATTTTTTAGTTTAACAGTCAGGAGTGCTCAGATTAACTTACGCATATTTTGACTAATCTTTTTTTTGGTTTAGTTAAAGACAAGTCATTCATGTCGGAACTAGGGTAATTTTATGAGAGATAAATCCCTCATAGTCTAGTCTCATAAGGTTACCAAAATTCAAACTTAAGATATTTGAGTTTACAACTCGTTCTTATTATTATTTGAACTACCCATTTGAGATTAACACAAGACAATGTCTCCCAAGGAACTCTAGCTTTGTTATATATTGCAATATGGGCACATGCGATGTGCAACTAAGGCATGAAAAAACAAGATAAAAAGCTTTATTCATACTTTTCGCCTTGTAAGTTTTATTTTGGTTCTTAAATTTTATTTTTATCAATTTTATTCTCCGATATTTAAAATATTAATGTAGTCAAATTAGAAAAAAAAAATAGTTAGAATTTTAACAGAAAAATAATGCACATGATGCCCCAGGTGGGAAAATATTCATTTTATACCCCAAAAATATAAAAAAATATTTATTTTATACTTTTAAAGATTAATTTCTTACATCCTTCAATACATTATGGCCTGTCGTTAATTTTTGTTGCTCATTATGTTAAAAATTACTTCATTGACGAAGAAGAAGCTAATGGTAGAACCATATTGTAGCACTTTTTAGATATTAAGGGTGAAATAAAAAATATAATTTTTAAAAGTACCAAATGAGAATTACTAAATCTTTCAACATATAAAGTACAATTTATTCAAATAAAATAAAAAAATGTGGTAATTGCATTAGAGATCCCCAAAGTATACAGTTTATCTCATTTGGTCTCTAATATTTTAATTGTATCATTTTGATCCCTAAATTATTGAATATGAATAGTCTCTCAAGCAGATAGTGTCCAGATTACTAATGATTTTATATCATAAATTTGTCACACGATACTTAAATATGGACACAATTTTTTTGATCAAAATTTAACCAAATTTTGGTTAAATATCTAACTTACACAATTTTGATCATACGCTATCCAAATTTTGATAAAAAATTATTTATATTACACATTTTTTTGTCAAGAGCTACCCAAATTTTATTTAAGAGCTATCAAAATTATTTTTTGTTCATGTTTAGCTATTTACGTGATAAGTTTATGATAAAAAATTATTAGCAACCTGAATATTGTTTGGTTGAAAGACCATATAAAAATATGTTCAATACTTTAAGAACCAAAACAATACAATTAAAATACTGGAGACCAAAATAAGACAAATTTTATATTTTTGGGACCTCTCTAGTGTAATTAACCTTAAATAAATTCATGGGCCAAGATCATATGATCAGAAAATGGGCCAGTGACCTTGGACTTGGCCCCAATCTCGTCAACCCACCATTTGATCGGTCCCTCTCCCTCGTTGAGCTACCAGTGTGCTCGTTCCTCAGTCCCAACATGAACAGGTATGCAATTTTTGTGTATGGATTTTTCTATGGGTTGCAAAGACATAATGAACAAATACATAATATATATATATATGTGTGTGTGTGTGTGTGTGTGTGTGTGTGTGTGATTGTATACGCAATACTGTTCAGGTTACCGGTTGGGTGTGCCCTTGCATTGTACAGGTATCAAATGGTTGAATTCATATTCCGATCATCTGTTNATATATATATATATATATATATGTGTGTGTGTAATTGTATACGCAATCACTGTTCAGGTTACCGGTTGGGTGTGCCCTTGCATTGTACAGGTATCAAATGGTTGAATTCATATTCCGATCATCTGTTATATATGAAATTAATTAATTTAGAAATACCCACAAAATTTTTTTGGAGGCCGTCATTCTTAGTCGATAGTGTTTAAGAAATTAGGAAAACTGGGTTAGCGAATTTGAGCTTACAGAGACTCCATGTGATTGTTTGGTGTTGACACTTGTATATAATTATCTTCATATGCATATGTATGTAAAGCTTATATAAAGAAACCCACTGCATTGTATTATGTTTTTGAATTTCAAAGAGGCCCACATTTCCATAATTCAAACAAATCAAAAATTTGTAATACTGCCTGTTTGGGAATACACACACGCACACAATCAGCCACACCCACACACAAACATTCTCATATGTAAAGATTATATAATGAAACCCACTGCATTGTATTGTGGTTTTGAATTTCAAAGAGGCCCACATTCCCAATTTCCCACGATTTAAATCACTCAAAAGATCGGAAATACTGCCAGTTTGGGAATACACACACATACATGCGTGCATACACATAGACAGCCACACACCCTCACAAACATTCTCATATGCATATGTGTAGAGGTGTACAATATTGAAAATGTTATGATTTCCTTCTCTGGGTTGAGCTGGTGCAGACTTGCTCTTGTGCATATAAAATGAATGTTGACATGATGAAGCATTGCCAATTTCATTTATATGCTTATGCAGTTAATACCATATGTCCATGTTTTATTTGCTGGAAACAGGGTGATTGCAAGAAGGGTTGTGCCTAATATCTGTGGGTTGAAATATGCACGGAAGACTTTCTGTGATGAAGCTGCAAACTTACCTGGCTCAAACTGTGGCCTAACTAACAATGTAATATTCTTGTCATAATTCTCTTTAGATACTTATCTTAATTGACTGGAATATGTTATTAACTAGTCTGATTTTGTTTTATGCCTGAACAATGTGTATTTTTGAATTTTCATTGGTGAAGTGTCTATTATGGGCATAATCATATATGAGGATTTTACGTGAAGGAAAACCAGAAGAACTGTGTGCTTGTCTTTTTCATTACACGGATCCCTAAATTAAAAATCCATAATGGAATACATGTAGTGGTCGTGTTAAACGGATTTTATTTATTTTGTTCATTTGTTGCATTGTATGTACAAGTAAAATCCATGCTTGGAAGATACAAATCCATACACAGCATTGTGATATGGGTGTTTTTCACTAACCAATTATGAAATAAGTTGTTAAAGCTAAGGTCCTTAGTTATCCTTATGTATTGGGAAAATTTCTTCAAGCAGCATATCTTTTAGCTTATGATAATGTCAACTAGTAAAAACTCACATATCAAAAAAATCTAAACCTCTGACCTCTGGAAGTCTTCAGCATTTATCATTTTAATTTCATTGAAGAGAAAATTTTTCATTTTCTTAATATAAGATCTATTATTTGTTTCTAAAATTATATGCTGCTTTCTATTGAAATTATTATTTATGGACAAACCTTGCTTGCTACCAGCATTTTATTTGTTTACATGACTTGTTTTAGATGATTGTATAAGTTATTCTAATTTATGAATCTGTATTTTTCTCAAAATTCTGTTGTGGGAACCATTTTTTCCTTATATTTCAATTCAAGTACATTTTCAGCTTTTAAATAGCATGTGTAGGGTGTTCATTTGAATCACATTCAAATTACAACTCGGAGAAGATAAGATTATGTGCAAGGTGCTTGACTCTCAATTCAGTCTCTTGTTTTGGCCAGTCTTTATCTTCTTGCAGCATTTGTTTATTCGTCCCCATATATCTCTTCTCTGATCTTTCCTCCAAATCATCTAAGCACTGGATTATGGGAACATAATAATCTTCAAATTTTTATTCCAGCAGTTATTTCAGCCTTGTTAGATATATGTCTCTTTGCATAGTTTGGTTCCTAGATAATTATCCTGATGTACGAATGTAGTGCCCCTTATTCTTTAGTGAATTTTTTGCCTTTTTAAGAGAAAATAGTGATGTATTTTTTTTTCTAGTTAGAGGAAAATAAAATTGTCCAAATATGCTTTAAATAATGGTAGCAAATTTTTCAGTGAGCAAGCTTAAAACTATATGTATCAAGCATATCAACTTGATCATAGTCAGTTTTTCACATCAGAGTTTGGGTGTCATAGCTGTCAGTTTGGGTATCAACTTCAATACAGTTGTCTTTACCCAAAAGCAATTTCTAGTCATATGTCTAGATTTAATAGTGCTGATACAGAGATGAATTAATCAGTAGAAATATCTTCAGTGTCTGGACCTTTCATTATTCTTCTAGTTCAACTCCACACCTTATATTACGAGATTCTGCAAAGCACCTTCTGCTTTTCAATTATATGGGACTTGGTGCATCAAATTATTATTGCTTGGAGACCATAATTTATTTTTATGCTCCTTGGGGGCCACTTGATAATATTATTTTTTGCTTGGTGACTAGAACTCACTACCTGATTCTTTTTCCTAGATCGTTGTAGGATTTGCCAGTCATTTATTCAGTCAAATGTGATGTCGATCAACTAGTTATTAAAGAGCAGATGTTTCTCTTGTTTTTTATTCTTTAATTTGCATTCATGTGTTGCTCTTGTCTTTGGACAAAACATTCATTACATTTTGGGTCATGAAAAAGATTCTTCAGTATGACTTTTACGCTTTCAAATTCTAGGAACCTGTTGACAAGCTTGATTCGACAAACAATGTACCCCAATATGACATTGCTATTGTTGGAGGTGGGATGGTTGGCATGGCTCTCGCTTGTTCTCTAGGTAATTAAATTCAGCATATAATTAGCTTTGTAATGGATTCTGCAGTTTCTTCTTGCCTTTCTTCTCCCTTTTTATAAATTTTGTGATGCTATTTTATTTTCTGGTGTGTGTGTGTGTGTTGTGTTTGGGGGGGCGCCCCCGGGGGGGGGGGGGTTTCAAATGATTTGATGAGAAGACTCGATTGCTATTTTTTTGAGGTGAGGGAGAGGCCCGGTGGTAAGGGCTCACTTCGGTACGCAGGTGATTGCAAGTTCCAACCTCATTCTCATCCTCCAAACCAAGAAAAACATGCTCTTTTTTTCTGATTTTACATTTACCTGAAATTTCTAAGGGTACGGTATACTTGCAGACCATCATTAGTTGTCTTCCCTATACTTTTTGATTATTTTCATTGTTGTCATTATCATAAGTGTATGATCACTCTTACTGTTGCTACAAGAACGGTGTTTCCAAGATTGAATTTTTCATTTAGACTAAAAATATTCTTTGGAATTAAAAAGGAAAAACGAACCAAAATAATGTTATTAGTTTTAGGACAACTGATGTCTATGACATGTTGTTGATTGCTAATAGGATAGCTGGATAATTAAATTCTAAGCTTTATCACATGTGCTTCTCACTTCTTTTCCTTTTCTTTATTTGGTCTTCAGGAAAAATAAAATAAACAAAAAAAAAAACATCAAACCAAAAAGCTAGAAGCATCACATTAGATGAGGATCTCTGGATGAATAAAGGAGAACACAACAAATTTCAAATTGCTTTAAGAAACAAGTGCGGAGAACCAAAACCCCTCTCCACAAGCCAAAGCTTCAGCAATTGGTTCAGAGGCAGCCTCGTCACTGTAGCCCTTCCATCCACCGAAGCTCATTTTTACTTTTTGATTAGTACATCTACCGTGAGACGAATGTGTGCCATGAGACAACTTGGAAGAATTGTACTGATGCATTCCAATAATTGTTTAGAATTTTGGTAATTTATGCAGAGTTTGACATAGTGGCTTTGTGAGAATACAAAGCATCATCGGCAACTTGAACACTTCTGCTTCATTTTTAATTCCTTCTGATCTCTCTTCAGCTATGAAGCACGGATACGGATACGGGATACGAGTACGATACGATACGGATACGACGATACGACAAAGTCTAAACNTCATCGGCAACTTGAACACTTCTGCTTCATTTTTAATTCCTTCTGATCTCTCTTCAGTTATGAAGCACGGATACGGATATGGGATACGGGTACGATACGATACGGATACGACGATACGACAAAGTCTAAACAAGTAGGATACGGGTACGGCTAAGATACGGCTATAATAAAATATATTTAATATTTTTATTATTTTCAACCCGCATAATACTTATATATTTTAGTAGTTCTTTAATATACAATAAGGAAAATTAGTAATTTTTTTTAATTTCAAGAAAATATATATCGTTTCGCTGTAGTNAGATACGGCTATAATAAAATATATTTAATATTTTTATTATTTTCAACCCGCATAATACTTATATATTTTAGTAGTTCTTTAATATACAATAAGGAAAATTAGTAATTTTTTTTAATTTCAAGAAAATATATATATTTTTGCTGTAGCATATTCATAAAGTGAAGTGACTAATTAAAGAAATTAAAACTAATATTTACCTAGTATTTANAATATTTTTATTATTTTCAACCCGCATAATACTTATATATTTTAGTAGTTCTTTAATATACAATAAGGAAAATTAGTAATTTTTTTTAATTTCAAGAAAATATATATATTTTTGCTGTAGCATATTCATAAAGTGAAGTGACTAATTAAAGAAATTAAAACTAATATTTACCTAGTATTTAGAAGTAATTTTTGCTAGGATAATAATGTAANCAAGTAGGATACGGGTACGGCTAAGATACGGCTATAATAAAATATATTTAATATTTTTATTATTTTCAACCCGCATAATACTTATATATTTTAGTAGTTCTTTAATATACAATAAGGAAAATTAGTAATTTTTTTTAATTTCAAGAAAATATATATCGTTTCGCTGTAGTATATTCATAAAGTGAAGTGACTAATTAAAGAAATTAAAACTAATATTTACCTAGTATTTAGAAGTAATTTTTGCTAGGATAATAATGTAATAACTTTATTTTATGCTCTTTTGACATGTAATTGTAGATAATACTTAAGAAACACTCATGTATCTTCGGAGTAATATGAATTTTTTGTTAATGTATTGTATGATATGTGAATTTAAAAAGAGATGTTAAAAGTTCAACTCAAAAATTATATATGTTGCTCGACCACAAAAGTATCCGTAAAGTATCCTAATATTTAATTATTATCGGATACGTAGAAGTTGTATTCGATACGTATCCTCGAGTATCCAACGAGTATCGTATCCGATACAGTATTGGACACGGGTACGTCAACCTTAACGAAGTATCCGTGCTTCATAGCTCTTCAGCAATTGCATGTGAGATCATTCCAAACATCTACAACTATAATGAAAATGTAAGGTGACAAAGGGTTTCCTTCTCTTTATTCCTTGTAGTGAATAACTGAACAAGGGGTTTTCCCACTAATGATGAGTATGCCATAACAAAAAGGCTAAGACGTTGGTTTATCAATTGGAGCTTAATTTATGAAATTCAAGCTTATGTGATTCTACATCATGTTCATGTCAACCTTAGTAGCTCTACCTGTGCATGATTCACCTGCCTTTTCAATCTTAAAGGTTGAAAAACAACATATGCCATGATAATATTGTCTTGGATGTGCCTTTCACGACAAAAGTTGTGTGTTTGTGATATGTTTATTTCTTGAGAAGTTGGTTCATTGTGTTTGCCCGTATTTTTGCAAATGGTCTTGTAAAAGAAAGAGCATAAACTTATGGGTTTGAATTGACCACTTATCCTGGGTGGTCACTTTTGGAATGAGAACAACGTTGTTTTGGTTGACTTTTTAACAAGAAACCCAAACAAAAGTACCTGGAAATTGTTAGAAAAATATCTGGACAACAGTTATTCTAAGATTTTTATGAAATAATCCATTAAAACCATCATGGCATGGGGCTTTCACCCCTAATTGAAAAGACGCGAGAGTAACCTTCCTCCATATGTTACATACCAAGTAACTAGTTTGTATATTTTGTTAATTTCCATGTGTTTGCAGCAAGCATGCCCCTAACGAAGCAGTTAAGTCTTGCAATCATTGACAGCAATCCTGCTTTAATGAGTGGGCGTTCAATCAACAAAGAAGATCCTCCTGATCCAAGGGTCAGTACAATCACTCCTGCAACCCTCTCTCTTTTCAAAGGTATTGATTTTGATGTCTTTTGGCATTGTTTCATATTGTGCTCAGCTAAATAATCTAATTTATCTGAAAAACAATTATTTCATTTTATTTTCTTTGTGCTTATCGGGCTAATTCCATAGTACCTGTTATAACAAAATAGGAAACAGTACCTAAAACAGTACCTCACTAAAGTTTTAAAATATTAGTTGCTGCATGCAGGATTTGTAGGTTTATTGTTCTACATAGTATTATCTTGATAAAATGTTTCTAGATGTGGTTTTGTGATTTCTGGGCCCACTGCTGAAAAAAATCATCTCTTTATGTATCTGGAGTTTTCATCTCTTTTTCTTGTAATAGAGGTTATCCCATCTTAAAGTTTTGATAACGACTTATTGATTGTTTTATGATTTTTGGTTCTGATCTTTTGAAGCTTTCGATATAGACTCCTCAGTAATGATGAGTAGCTTGCATTTCAGATATTCAATGCTATGGAAACCAAAATCATCTTAGTGATTCTTAGATTGCTGATAATATTATTGGTGTTAATGCTTGAAATTGGTGAGGAGGGCTAGCCCATAGCTGAAATTTGTATTCAAACAAGATTTGGGAGGAAAAAGTGAAATTATTGAGGAGGNGGAAACCAAAATCATCTTAGTGATTCTTAGATTGCTGATAATATTATTGGTGTTAATACTTGAAATTGGTGAGGAGGGCTAGCCCATAGCTGAAATTTGTATTCAAACAAGATTTGGGAGGAAAAAGTGAAATTATTGAGGAGGCTAGTACTAAGCTGAGCTTAGAGGTCTATTGAACATAGGAGGTTATGATCTGATTGGCTTTATAACATTCAGAGGTTAAATTTGAGAAATCAAAAATATGATCAGTAGACATGGAAGAATATAATTGTTTATATCCTGGAACAGGAAATTGATTATATTTTCAATTAGTTGATATTAACAAGTAATATAGGTTAACACTGTTAACGGTTCAGACAAAAATGACTTTTTTTCCACCAAACAACTCTTGTTTCTTATTTAGACACCCTTATCCAGTAATTGAACCAAATCAACCCCACACCCAAACAACTTCCTACTACTCCTATCCATCTTTCTCCTCTCTCTCACACCCACCCACACAGAGCACATGCAAATTAGCTCTCACTCGCACACACACTGTATTTCTACATTTGACAACCCATTTGCAAAAAATACACAGGATGACATGAATGATCTATAAAGGGAATAGGTCATTGAAGTTTAAAAGTGATGAGGCTACATGCCTACACTGCAAATAAAATCCAATATTGAGAGTTTCAGTAGGAGTGATGAGGTTAAGCACACTCGGAATTCTTTTCTCTCTCTCTGTATAATATATATTATATATCTGTATATATACATGTATACACACCCATATACTTGCAGGACATGAATACACGTAGCTGTATAAATATAGTAGTTTCCTCCCCGAGAGTTACCCAGTATGCCTGGAAGCAGAGTATATATTTTCTGAAAAAGATGAGAAGTAATATTTTGTTATGTCTGATCATGTAACAGTGACAGTTCTACTTTGTAGATGTTGGCGCTTGGCAATATGTTGAACAGCATCGACATGCTTATTTTGATAGGATGCAGGTAATGGTTGCTGTTCTTAAATTTAAAAATTTCAGTTGTCTAGGTAATTGTTGGAAAGAATCTTCCCAAAGCAGTTTGATTATGTTTTATGAGTAGGGGTGTTCAAATTTCCGATTAACTCACAGTTTCCTACCCTACCCAACCCTATTGAACGGCTAGCCGAAAAAATCGGGTGGGAATATGGAAGAGTTTTTGGTCNGTAGGGGTGTTCAAATTTCCGATTAACTCACAGTTTCCTACCCTACCCAACCCTATTAAACGGCTAGCCGAAAAAATCGGGTGGGAATATGGAAGAGTTTTTGGTCTTCCGATTAAATCGGGTAAGAATGCAGAATAGCCATTAATTTTCGTATTTCTACCCTGCCCTGCCCGCATTAATTTATATATATATATAAACTAAAAATCCTAATTCCCTAACCATATGATTTAAATTTAAAATAATTTTTATTGTATTTGTGCAACAATTATGATGGATTGATGTTTATACTTTCTTATGTTTTATTGTAATTGTTGTTGTAATTGTTTTAGATTTTAGTGTTATTTGTTTATTGTGTTGTTAAATTGGTGCATGTTATTTAATTGAATTGTTAAAATGATCCAAAAAATAAAAACTACAAAAGTGTTCACCTGATTTCCTACCCGACTTACTACCCGATTAATTTGGCCAGAAGTCGGGTAGGAATACCACACTTAATCGGATAGGGTAGGTCAAGAAAAAATTCTTCCACAAAGTATTNAAAAAATAAAAACTACAAAAGTGTTCACCTGATTTCCTACCCGACTTACTACCCGATCAATTTGGCCAGAAGTCGGGTAGGAATAGCACACTTAATCGGATAGGGTAGGTCAAGAAAAAATTCTTCCACAAAGTATCGGGTAGGAAGACGGAAGACTATCTTTCCTACCCCTTATGAGAAAGTTTGTGTCCTTTATGTATGGAGCATGCTAACAATCAAATTCAAAGTCTCAACTAGTGGAACAATATCACTATGCTTATTATATTACCACGAAACAACCTTGATCATTGGATGTGTACTTGTTTCTGAACTTTTTTGGGGATTTGTTTCATAGGAGTCGCTGTTTATTGATTGTTTTCACCATGAAATTTCAGAAAAACTTATGAGGTCTTAAGGAAGTAATTCGGTTTCAATTGATATTTTACAGCCGAAGTGGTGACCTCGGAGGGAAGGTCTCAAATCTAGACATTTGTGGGGGTAACACTAATGTGTCAATGGAAGCGAATGTAACAAACCATAAAACTGCTCTGGTACCAATTGAAAGGAGGGATGCTCTCCTAGATTTTACGCTTTCCAATATAAAAACATGAAATATTTCAACCCAAGCACAATGATCCAATATTAGCAGTCAAATTAAAATTGCATACAATATCAATAGGATTGATCCTCTAACCACCCTATGATCAATATATAAATGATATGCCTCAATATTTTTAGAGCAACCATAACAATTCAATCTCAAAATAATCCAAGACAAGTGGGTTTTTACATGGAGAACCAAACCGGGAAAAAAACATTGTACAAGGGAAGATCTTGAGGGAAACATTTGGAAAACCAAGGGAATCAATGCTATATTTAGTGTTCTCACTCCTAAAGGTTTTTGAAATATTGCAAAACTTCCAAGCATGAGACATTTTGCAAGGGACCCCTAAAGGTACCTACACAATTAGAATCTCTAAACTCCAGATGCTCACCTATNAGCAACCATAACAATTCAATCTCAAAATAATCCAAGACAAGTGGGTTTTTACATGGAGAACCAAACCGGGAAAAAAACATTGTACAAGGGAAGATCTTGAGGGAAACATTTGGAAAACCAAGGGAATCAATGCTATATTTAGTGTTCTCACTCCTAAAGGTTTTTGAAATATTGCAAAACTTCCAAGCATAAGACATTTTGCAAGGGACCCCTAAAGGTACCTACACAATTAGAATCTCTAAACTCCAGATGCTCACCTAGAGACTTAAAAGAACTATGATGGATGATCATGAAACCTTCTCTAAGGTTTTTTCTAAACTTGGTGACGTAATTAATTCACTCTTCAACCTACATGAAATAATACTTGAGCCTAAAATAATGAAAATTCTTGAAGTGTCTACCGGAGAGATGCCAACATAAGGTTATTGTCAGAATTAGAGTAAGGATGTGTATGCTGTTCATGTAGATCTCCCATAACGTGTATAGCATTATTGTTCATGCTTGATGGATTTATTGATGGTGGAGCTTACAAGCTACTTCATGCACAGTATTCTCAGAAATTTTGCTAAATGGAAGCACTTTAGCCTTAGGCGACACTTTTAAGCAATTGAAAATTTGACAATGGTGAAGGAGAAGAGCAGGGGGAAAAGGTAAGTAGGAGAGATGCAGGAGGACCACCAATATTAAAATATAGCCAGGAAAGCATGTTTGGAAGGGTTATTGTGAGAATAATGTCCACAACTGCATAGGGAATAGGTTACATAGTTGAAACTACATGCTTTACATAGGCTGTGCTGACAAATGGTGACTGTATAACAACCCCACTAATTCCGGATGTTGTTCCATGTTAGCGTTGTTGTTTTGCGTCTGAGAGGCCTATTCTTGTTGATAATTTACACAGTGCTATAATATTCATGTTTTCGTTGTATTGGTAAAGTTGAAACCATTGAATACCGTGAAGTCTCTCTTACATCTAAAGAGCAAGTGGTCACAAATGTGGCGTCAGAGCATTAAGGTCTGACCTTTGAATCATGTTTCCTCCATGGTAACCTAAAATTTGTGCAAATATGAATGGGCCATTAGTGAGGGATAAAGCTGAAATACATTAGACAACCCCCTTTTTAATGATAAAGCTTTTGAATGAAAGTGGTCGTATACACCCCCCATGAAGAGAGNTGCAAATATGAATGGGCCATTAGTGAGGGATAAAGCTGAAATACATTAGACAACCCCTTTTTAATGATAAAGCTTTTGAATGAAAGTGGTCGTATACACCCCCCATGAAGAGAGAAAAAGACCGAAAGAAAGAAGTTATCTTGAACTTGTTAACAGGCAGCCATGAATATAAGAAATGTAAAAACATGAATTGTTAAAAACATGGGTTGGAAATTGAAGCATGCAACATCTTTAAAGATTCTTGTTATATTCAACAAGTCTGAAAAATTCTCTAATTGTTTTCAATATAAGTTTAAAGCAGAACATAATACAGTTTTACTGGGGTGACTTAGTAACTTTTGTTTTGTCTTTGTTCTCCAGTGGAATTGTGGACAAGACTCATTTCCTCCTTCACGNTTAAAGATTCTTGTTATATTCAACAAGTCTGAAAAATTCTCTAATTGTTTTCAATATAAGTTTAAAGCAGAGCATAATACATAATACAGTTTTACTGGGGTGACTTGGTAACTTTTGTTTTGTCTTTGTTCTCCAGTGGAATTGTGGACAAGACTCATTTCCTCCTTCACGTCTAGACTCCATTTCGTGTTTATTTCTGCTATAAAATTCCAATTGTTAAATTCTCTTTATATATGTGTGGCTAGTGCTATGTTTCACTCGCTCTTAAATGAAGACTTATGAAATGTGCTATGTTTCCCATGTAGGTTTGGGATTACACTGGCCTTGGATACACAAGATACAATGCGAGGGATGTGAACAAAGAAGCACTAGGGTAAGTATTCAATTAGCAGGATAACCAATTCTCTCTTCAAGANGGTTTGGGATTACACTGGCCTTGGATACACAAGATACAATGCGAGGGATGTGAACAAAGAAGCACTAGGGTAAGTATTCAATTAGCAGGATAACCAATTCTCTCTTCAAGAACATACAGCTATTGATGGTCGCGGATCCTACTTTGGTCTTTTGATTCAGGTGTGTGGTGGAGAATAAGGTGCTTCACAAATCTCTGTTGTCATGTGTGCAGGTACTTAAGCCATTGGGAACCTTTTATATCTCTGTTTCTTGAAAGCTAGATGATGAAATATGGAGTTTCCTGCATTGTCCAAATGCTTGAACCTGTTCAGATTGTTTTTGTTTAGCCTTTTCTAAAGTTGATGCCTTAAAATTGAGGGGAAAAAATAGATTCAGTTTCCTGCCTAAAGTGTGGGCAGTTTCCGTGTTTCTGAGTATAATAGTTGTCAACATCAAAACCTGTGCATATCTAAAAGTAATGGTTTTTGTTTTCTTGCATAACAAGAGGTATGTATACATTTAGTTGGCCTTGATATTTCGCCACTTACAGTTGCAATAAATCAATCTGTAATTCTGCCACAGTTGTGATTGCAATTTGTCATTGGTCTCGATATAGTTTTACCAAAGAAATTGAAAATATGGACAGCACGCAGATTTCCAGAAGACTATTTATCCTTCCAGATTAACTTCAATGACTCTGCATCAAAGCTCATCATCAGCGGGATTAGATTGCACATCATCGGGAACATTGAATGCTCATGGAAGTATAGCAAAGCTGGAACTAAGCAATGGCAATAGCTTGTATGCTAAGTTGGTGGTAATTTCAATATAATTTTGGCATATATTATTTTACAAGCAGAAAAAAAAAATATATATATATATATATATATTTGCTTAAAGAAAAAGAGAAGGTTGACAGAAGCTAAAGCTATATCCTGCCCCTTTTTGGTATGAACTTTTGGACTTTCTTATCATCTAGAAAAATATTAATGAGTATCAGGTTCAATGTTATTTATCACAGGTTGGAGCTGATGGATCTAAGTCACGTGTTCGGGAGTTGGCAAGTATCAAGACGACTGGTTGGAAGTACTCTCAGGATGCAATCATCTGCACAGTAGAACATATGGAGGAAAACAGATGTGCATGGCAACGATTTCTACCTGCTGGTCCGATTGCACTTTTGCCAGTGGGTGACAAGTTCAGCAACATAGTTTGGACTATGAAGCCCAAGGAGTCATCAGAATTTAAATCAATGAATGAATATGATTTTGTGAAAACAATAAACCATGCTTTGGATTATGGATACGGACCTAATCCTCAGTCACAATTATCTGGTGGTGGAAGTATATTTTCTTGGCTCGGAGGAGATGTGGCCTCTTCGGCGAATGAATGGTTTGAGGTTCCACCAAAAGTAGTCAAATTGGCATCAGATAGNACATGAGCCCTCGAAATGAGAGAGTTTTGACGTTATAAATGTCAAATGAAGTCTTCCGTTTTCCCTTCCCCAGTTTGCTATAGTAAAAAGTAACATTTTGCTTGCGCCACATCAACACGGCAAGCAGATACTGAAGTGTTTTTAAGTCTCCATCACTAGGCTTCAGGAGCTAGGCCCTTTTGAGGTGATGTTTGGGTTGGGTTGTTTTGTGATTCTATTAAAACATTTTCCTGCAGGTATATGGTTAGGATGAAAAACATATGAAAGAATGTTGTAGCTAAAAATCGTGATTATCTAGATTACTTTTTTTGACCAACCTTGTCTTCCTTTCCTAATACCGCCTAATTTATCGAATTTCACTACTCCTGAATCCCCACCAAACTCTCCACCTATTTACTCTTATAGTGCTTTTTTTGTTGTCAATTTTCTTACTGTTGCATTTTTGGGTTCTTGAGACTTGAGATTTTGGGGTTTTGTTCTCTCTTTCTAGAGTCACGACAGTTGTTTTGGTATATTTTTCAATGTGGGTTTCTGATGTAAGTAATGGGTTTTCAAGATTAAGAGAGTTTGTGATGATGATTATGTTATCTTGATTAGCTTTAGCTTGTGTTGGACTTTGGCCTATGTGTTTTGGTGCTTTAAGCTGGAATTAGCTTACAAACCTTGGCCTAGGCGTTTTGATGCTTTGGAGCTGGAATTAGCTTGCTATTCTTGAGGCAGGGATTCAATTTCCTTCCGGAGTTGATATTTGTTTTTGGGTTAGCTAAGTAGTGTTTTTTAGATGGGTTGTAGGGGTGGCAGTCGTGTGTTATTTTGGGTTCGTGTTGGACATTAATCAACTCTAATTTAACCCGTTTAATTAATCGTGTCGTGTTGTATCGATTTATTTATTTTCGTGTCGTATTTGTGTTGATCAATATAACCCGTGAATAAAAAATCTAACACTCAATTTTATGTCTAAAATTTTATTATCATTTAATCGAATTATGTTCATATTTTTTCTTTTTTTTTTTTTTTTTGGTTATGTTCATATTTTTTTTATAAACTAAAAAATTAACTTAATAAATATAATAATAAAAATAAGTAAAATTAGGTCACTACTTGATCAAATATAATAAAAAATTGACATTTTATTTTTATAATACTACTTAAAGGTGTTAATTATATACATTTCGTGTTATTCCTATTTAATATTAACATAATTCATTTATCATTCGTGTTAAGAAATATTCTAACCCTAATTTGTTGATTTTATGTCATATTTTTGTGTTGTATAAAAAATTATCACCCCTAATTTTGATCGTTTGAAGCGGGTTTTGTGAGATGACAAGGATTAGAAGTTGTGCCAGGAACCATGAACAAAATGGGAATTGAGATGACTATATGACATTCTTGGAGGAAAAAGATATTTTTGTATACATTTTGTAGGACTCAAATTAAGTCATTTAAGGGAAAATTTGGTAGGATATTCCCTTATTTTTTGTAGTTTTGAACACGTCGTCTTCTGCTAAATAATCATATAAAAAGTCGAAGATTTTCTCTTTCTTGTTCTTTCCACCATTTCACGCTTACCAAACTATAGTAAAGCTCCCTAATTGCCTCTAGGNCTTGGAGGAAAAAGATATTTTTGTATACATTTTGCAGGACTCAAATTGAGTCATTTAAGGGAAAATTTGGTAGGATATTCCCTTATTTTCTACAGTTTTGAACACGTCGTCTTCTGTTAAATAATCATATAAAAAGTCGAAGATTTTCTCTTTCTTGTACTTTCCACCATTTCACGCTTACCAAACTATAGTAAAGCTCCCTAATTGCCTCTAGGGTTGGATCTCAAAATGAATGTCTGGTATTTATACATGCCTTTTTTCCTGGCTCTAGGGGACTCAGCCATTGAGATTGCACGTAGTTCTCACTCTTTTAATTGTAATATTTTAATTCTTAAACTTCTAATTTGTATCACTTTATTCCAACAGACAACACAATTTAAACTTAGATGACTAATTTTAAGGGTTTAGCTCAAGTGATAGTCGGTCACTTAATAGATGCCTTAAAATTAATATTGCTCAAGGGGTTTGATATTTCATAATGTAAAAATGCTCTTTAGAGCCACCTCCTCTAAATTTAACTTTGGCACGTGGAGAGGAAATTGTGTATGTGAGCNAATATTTTAATTCTTAAACTTCTAATTTGTATCACTTTATTCCAACAGACAACACAATTTAAACTTAGATAACTAATTTTAAGGGTTTAGCTCAAGTGATAGTCGGTCACTTAATAGGTGCCTTAAAATTAATATTGCTCAAGGGTTTGATATTTCATAATGTAAAAATGCTCTTTATAGCCACCTCCTCTAAATTTAACTTTGGCACGTGGAGAGGAAATTGTGTATGTGAGCTCAGGTTGATTGCCGACCATAGGTCCAAATTGACTTAGTTGGTGGGGGTTCCTAGGTTTTCAAAAAAAAAAAAATGACATAACCAAATTTGACGATCAGTTTATCCCTCAAGTTTTAGATTCTTCAAGTTTCAAATTTAAATTTGTCTATTTGGTTTGGCAATTTAAACCATCATTTTAACACAGAAAATCTATAATATAAAACAGGACAAATTTCAATAAGCTCATACGACAGTTTCAAATAAACTCATTTAACGACTACCAATATTCCTCTCAAAACCATTCACATTACACTNACTGACATAACCAAATTTGACGATCAGTTTATCCCTCAAGTTTTAGATTCTTCAAGTTTCAAATTTAAATTTGTCTCTTTGGTTTGGCAATTTAAACCATCATTTTAACACAGAAAATCTATAATATAAAACAGAACAAATTTCAATAAGCCCATACGACAGTTTTAAATAAACTCATTTAACGACTACCAATATTCCTCTCAAAACCATTCACATTACACTATCTCTGAAGGCATGAATTGCCCCTAATGAAGACTAAAGAGATACAAAACACATAACAGATTACTACATTTTGTCCAGACCTTACTGTGTTAATTACGAATACCCCAAACTATATAAGCTCACCACCCACATAGATTATTTCAAAATTTTTACTAGGTCAAGAGGGGCGGCAAAGGAATACACGAAGTCAGGTTTCAGAGCTCGATAAAGCAGACGAAGACTTCCCCCCGTATATCCGCCCCACTTCTTGTGTAAAGTTTTCTTGTACCCATGATACAACAGGTATGGAATTCTGCACAGCACAGCAACACCATTAAGAAAGTTTATTTTNATGTCAAGAGGGGCGGCAAAGGAATACACGAAGTCAGGTTTCAGAGCTCGACAAAGCAGACGAAGACTTCCCCCCGTATATCCGCCCCACTTCTTGTGTAAAGTTTTCTTGTACCCATGGTACAACAGGTATGGAATTCTGCACAGCACAGCAACACCATTAAGAAAGTTTATTTTGTAGTCTAAAATTGCTGGCAAAACAGATCTATGATTTGAATGCACCGAGTCTGCAAGTCATACCTTGGATTCACATAACAAAACTAACATTTTTGTCATGGGGGTGTAGTAAATCTTGTCATGGTGTAAAATGTTTACTTTTTGTAATTATTATCAAGCAAATATGATCCCAATCATCATAGACAACAGATTCCATTTTTCATCTGCAGAAGGGCAAGGACAAGAAACACTTGGCACTTTTAAGTAGAATAGGACAGTAAAAATTCTAACTAGTAAATAGAAAAAACTACATTACATAGAATCTCAACAATGTACAAACAATCAATGCCTCGTCCAAATCTTCCTCAGTGACCAATGGAACCAAAGCATAAAAGTTGGCATGGAATTGTAAGAGACCATTGTTAGCTTTTCTATTATTTTCTCTCTCCAACTCTATATTTGTTTGGTCAGAGTTTACAGCATCATATACAAGACCTAGGTTTTGTATTAGTCAGTGTCTACGGAGCAATGAGATAGGAATTTACTAACAGGGGAAATAACTGGGGATATAGGAGCCACCTAAACCCAAATGAATTACAGGAAATCATTGAACATTATGTATGATTTCTATACTTTTCTTTGGCCAACATATGCCCAAGTAAGAGGTTTTGAGCAGCAAGGTTACAGCAACCATATTACAAAAATGTATCCCGGATTAATCGTGCCACTACTCGTGAGGATAACCGATTGAGGACCTCAGGAAGCACAGTGGCAGAAAGGCCAGGCATCACAGGAAGAAGCTCTTGGATTACCCGAGGAACATTCACACCCTGTAGATTGGAAGGAAGAACATAAATCTAAGATTAGAATACTTCCACACTGAACCAGCTTCATAACACATTCACAACAGATTCTTCACAGTTCATATGTACTATTACAGCCAATTGAAATGAAATAGCAGTGTGCATTCCACCATCAAATTGATTCTGATCATTCATAAAGTTAGGCTTTGATTTACATTCACCAGTCATTCTCTATGAGGCAGCACATCTCCAATTCTAAGAAAATCGACATTCTTCTATAAGTTGGACAAACACTGAAGGACTTCCCAATGAAGCCATCCACCTCTTCTTTGCTTTTCCTTTGTTGGGGAGAGGGGGGTCAGACCATTCAAATAACATGAAATTTCTTTGTTACACCACCACAAGGTATCCTCCTATTGTCCATTAGATACCTCACTTCTAAGCACTACACAGAGCTGGCAGTTGTTTCAAGAACCTTCAAAACTTTTACTGGAAACAAGAATTTTGCAGCACGAATACTTGAAAATAACCAATAGTCAAACAGAAGGAGGATGCTAGCTATAGTTTGTAACAGTCTCAGACAATAAAAAGCACTAGTGGTTCTGTTTCTAACTAAGCATCGTTTTGCAAGGCATTTGACATCCACAAGCCTTTCTACAAATACCACCTTTAAGCATCACTATTAGTGGAAACTGCCATGATGATTAGGAATGAAAGAAAATTAAAATTATGAACACAACTATGAAAATCATTGTCCCAAAAATAATCAAAAAATTAATATTGACAAAAAAGAATTGATGAGGGTGATTTAGATTAGATCCAATTAGTGGAAAATAACAACTTATGGCCATAAATATCAGTATACCCTTGATCAGAAAGATAAAAACAACTTATTGCTATAATTACATAAAGCCATACACAAGTTATGTAGGCACGTGCCATCATATGCACCCCCAATTGCACATTGATGGTCTAGCTAATTCCCTTCAAACTTGCAACCACATTTATGTCCACTGATATAGCAAACATATTACACACATCCCAAATGTATTTCCACATTTTTGGAATGGCTTTCCCTTCAAAATGGTGTACATGCCGATTTTTTATGGTTCTGAGTGATATTTTCCTTATAAATTCAAGGATGTTACAAGTGAAGACAATTTCCAAATGCTAGAGATGACAAAGAATTATGTTAGTATTCAGAAAACTGAAGAATATATGCAGAACCCACCATCCTAACCCACAAATAACAAGTGATTCAAGTATACTTAAGGCGTATATACTAACTCACATTGAATGGAAACGATGGGAATGAAATTAAAGCACTAACAAAACAATAAATACAGGAACATTCAGCAAAATATATCATATCCATACCTCACTGGTAGATGTAAAAGCAACTATACACAGATGTAGTCTTTAATGTGAATATACAGAAATGGCGAATATCTCATCAGAAGTGCATATTTTTCTACTATACAGGACGTGTTATTGCAGTTTGAAAGGATAAGAATCAATTCAGTAGATAGCCAAGATTAGGTCCGGTAAACACCCCCTCTCAACACAACTCGATTTTATTTGGCCTACTTAAATTTATTTATGGGAAAAGATCCCCATCCACAAAAAATTTACCTGACTGGATGATGTTGAACTTCCAGCAGTTAAGAACTCAATGACTTTCTGAACATTGTTCAATATAACTTTATCTTCCTCTGTTATTGTGGGTAGAAATCCTGCAGGCCTAATTGGTCCCAAAGAAGGAACCATGCTGAAAAGTGGGGTGAAATTTCCTATCCCTAAAACTGCCATCATTTGCACTAATTGCTCCCTTGTAACAGCATCAATGCCCTTAACAATCTGCATACATGTCAAGACAAAGTTAACCTTATTGGACTAAAAGTATTGCAAACAAACTCTGGTCTCACCAGTGAGGCATTTAATAAAATTGAAACAACACAAAAGTTCCCGCATGAACAATTCTTACTAGGGTATTAACTTCTGATTCAAAACAAATTCTTTAATCTAATAGTGTTCTTTTTTTCTAATGCTGAGCCTCTGGCAATGAAGAGTCAACAATGTTCAAAATAATCAAGTAATTAGTAACTGATGTATAAAAACAACCCATGCATTTATTGTGTGTAGTATATTTTTTCTCTTGTAGTATGTATGTCTCCNTCTGGCAATGAAGAGTCAACAATGTTCAAAATAATCAAGTAATTAGTAACTGATGTATAAAAAAAACCCATGCATTTATTGTGTGTAGTATATTTTTTCTCTTGTAGTATGTATGTCTCCGGCAACTCTTTGGTTATTAATATTTCTATTTTTGCGCAAAAGACGAAGAAAAGATAATAACATTAAAGTCGATTATCATTCATATGTAGACTAGCAGCACATCTTCATTCAGATGCAAATATGTGATTACTTGCATTTGCGCTTGGCCAATACCAATTATGACAACAACATCAACACTGATAATATGCGTAAGATCGATGTAATAATGTAGAACATGTAGACTTAGATTTAAATGTGAATTTAATTAATGCTGGGCAGAGTTGCTACGGATTAGATACAATGATCAACAACACTGCAATGAAATTATTGTCAAAACTACTTTAGAAGTACCACATCAGAGTGAAACTCAACAAAACTATATTCCAAGTACCTCGTCCAAGAGAAACTCTCGAAAAAAGTTCCCCTTTTCAGAAAGCAGAAAGGCTAATGCAGCTCTAGTTTGAATCGGCTGCTCCACTTGAGGTGCACCTGATAAAAATGCAGGAAACATATAATTTGCTCGAGTTTGTAGAATGCCAAGCTCAGCCATTTTCCCATTTAGATCCTCTCCACCTCCACTTTTAGCTGCCGTTATGAAATTCTCAAAGGCTTGCATGACATCTATGAATCTTTCAGCATCAAAAACTCCAGTTTTCCCATATATCGTGTAACGTAATGCATTCCTTAGTCGTGGGGATTCATCCGTCAGAAGCCTCTGAAATTAAACAAAACAAAACCTTCAATTCACATCAATGTGGAGTTTATGAATTGAAGAGGTAAAATAATAGGACATATTGCCAGTTAAATTAAATGCAGTCTAAATGAACAACTGATTCAAAAATGTAGGCAAAAAGTTATATGATATTGCAGTTTCAAGGCACAAAACAATACCCCCACCTTTGTAAAAGATACACTAGCTGCCCTTGAAAAAAAAGTTCCAAAAAACAATAAAACAGTAAAAAAAAATAATTAAAGGTCAAACAAGCTCTAAGAAATTAATGAAAACAGTGGCAATTCTAATTAACCTCTAGATTTTATAACATTTATCAAACTGATATAGAATATTTCCGGAATTTTTTTCGACANATAATTAAAGGTCAAACAAGCTCTAAGAAATTAATGAAAACAGTGGCAATTCTAATTAACCTCAAGATTTTATAACATTTATCAAACTGATATAGAATATTTCCGGAATTTTTTTCGACAAGTTTGATGAACAGATTCTTTCAAATTGTTAGCAAGACAATTTAGTTGTTGCTAATGCAAAAATTCAGGTACCCATACCAAAATATCTGATAGGAAAATAGGTTAATGAGTTCAAATATTTGCTGGTTTTGATTTACAGCTTACACGAGTTATTTTCGTTATGCCAAAGCAACACAGTTCCTAATCAAACTATCAAATCATACCCTGCTCTTGTTCCAACAGTCAGTATAGAATTGGAATACCCACATGGATGATCTGGGTAGACTCAATAGCATGCATGCATGTTGATGATATAAGGCTGGATAAATGTTCGATGAACATAGAAATAGCACAGTATTTCCATACCTGTGCAATATATGGATAAGCTTCATCTACAATTGCAAAATCAGGATTTCCAACAAGAGCTATGCCTTCCAACACCCCTATTGCTCTAATTATTAGAGCAAAATAAGGGGGTATCCTAAATGGATAATCAAATGTTATTTGTGCCAAATCAGATGCGAGGTCCTGGAAGTTGATATTTTTTGCTCCCCCACCTTCTAGTGCCTGATCAAAAACCTTGGCCAGAACAGGCAAGATGGGCTCCAGATTAACCCCTTCTGGAATGAAACCAAGTTTGACAAAATCTTTGACTATAGCTCCATAATCCCGATGAATAAGGTGAGCTATGGCTTCAATCATTCCATATTTCTGATCATCTGTTAATTTCGTGACCAGGCCTGTCACCATAGAACCATAGTTTAGAATATACCAGATTATTTGTAGAGTCACAGAGTCCAACATATGATGAAGAAGCCTTTGTATTCATTATATTAATTTAGAATATCAAAGGCTATTATTAAGAGATCAGAGGAAAATAAGAGCTCTGATTAACAACATGCATTACATAGATAATTTTTAATGGCAATAAAAAGCAGTAGAGAAAAGTCGTATGTTAGACAACAACACAAAATGGCTGAACAACTTGTGTTGAGCTCTCACACCCATGTGTGAACACCATTCACAAGTGAGGGGCGGACAAACAATTGGTGCACCAACTAAACAGAATTCAAACCCATTAAGTGCAAGTGCACAAATAAATTTAAGCAAAAACACGTCAACACATGTTCTTTGTAGATTAGAACCAGTGTTTGAGGTGGGCAATCCAAGAAGGAAGGTTTGAGGTGGCCAACCTATGTTTCATTTACATCGTACAACTACTAAATTACTCAGATTTACACACCTACAGAACGCAATATATAGTCAGGCATTGAAGGCTCACTGCAACGTATCAACTCCACATAGCTCCACATGGAAGGGCCCTTCCTTTTGGTATAGAAAACCAAAGATATTACAAATAAAAAAGGGAATACGAAAAAGGACAAGCAGTCTTCTAGAAGTACAATTCATAAAAGAAAACCAATTGAAAAATTACAATACGACATACCACTTTCATGCAGCTGCACCCAGTTATACTTTATGAAAAATAAAGAAATGCTTTCAAAATCTTTGAAGTTGACGTTCAGAAAGATGCCAAGAATGACATTATAATTCTTCAATGAAAGCTCTTTATTGTCAAATATCCTCCTATTCCTTTGGAACCATACCATCCACATAATTGTCAAAGCGACACACCTCCATAGGGCCTTGGTTCTCTTACTCATTCCAAAACTCCCCAGCCAAGTTTAAAAATTGATTCACAAAACTGTCAATCACCAATGGAAATCACACGATCATCAATTTGTTCCACAAAATCAAAAGCAACGGGCAATGTAAGAACCAATGATAAATACACTCCTAGTACTTTTGCAAAGGATACACNTTAAAAATTACAATACGACATACCACTTTCATGCAGCTGCACAAGTTATACTTTATGAAAAATAAAGAAATGCTTTCAAAATCTTTGAAGTTGACGTTCAGAAAGATGCCAAGAATGACATTATAATTCTTCAATGAAAGCTCTTTATTGTCAAATATCCTCCTATTCCTTTGGAACCATACCATCCACATCATTGTCAAAGCGACACACCTCCATAGGGCCTTGGTTCTCTTACTCATTCCAAAACTCCCCAGCCAAGTTTAAAAATTGATTCACAAAACTGTCAATCACCAATGGAAATCACACGATCATCAATTTGTTCCACAAAATCAAAAGCAACGGGCAATGTAAGAACCAATGATAAATACACTCCTAGTACTTTTGCAAAGGATACACCACTGAGGATGGAGATAAGTAGATGGCCTCCTTTTTTCATCATATCCTTAATGATGCCTTGGACTTCCAAATCAGGTATGGTGGCTCAAAATTGGAACAATTGAAATATGAATCAAAGACTCTAGGAAAGGAAATGATCCATCTCCTTTATCACTAGAAAACTGACTCAAAGCTAGATTATTAGGAATCCATAAAAGAGAAGATGACTCAGCAATATCCCTATCATTCAAGTTTCTAAAGAAGTTGAAATTCCAACAAATGAGAAGGATAAAGATGATGTGATACTAGCAATAGATGAATTATGAGAACGAAAAAAGTAACACAACCGGGGAAACAGAGAAGCAATATAACCCAATCCCTCCTGCATCCTCCTAAAACCAAATTTTATCCCCCTTTAGCCCAAATAAATTAAAATCCTTGGAAAGAGAATAAGCTTATAGAAATGAATTTTCAAAGACAATGAGAATAACCCCTCTCACTCACATCAGTATTCCACCCATTTTCTTGAATCCTATATTTTCTTTTAATCCCAAATGCCGCAAACTATTTTGCTCCATGGGGAATTTCAATAACAATTTTCCTGGTAAGGAATATTCAAAGCTTTTAAATTGCCCAAAGAAAATCCACTCTTAATCCCAGAACGAGGTACCACCTCCTAACTCACCAAATGGTCTAGCTTTTCTTCGCCTCCATCCTCAAAAAGCAAATCCCACATCACTATATCTTTCATCTTCAACAACTTCATAGGCATATTGAAAAGGAACAAATGAGTGTATGGGGCTTGTATTCTTAAATGAGCCTTCCAAAGTACTAACCATGTGAGGCCTACCACATCACAACTTTAGAGTAAAAAGTTTTGCTAGAATTCTATCCAATATACTTTAAACAAAAAAACACAAGTCGTATAGGAAATCAACAATTTGAAACAAGATTGCATAAAATTACTTCAAACAAAAATGTGAAAAGGTGATCCTTTACATTGTAATGTAAAACCAAGTAAATTTTACCAAAATCAAGTATAGCCAGCTTCCCATCTGGTGTGCGGATCAAATTCCCCGGATGTGGATCGGCATGGAAGAAACCGGTATCAAGCAACTGTAAATCCAAATGAAAACAGATAAGATGGCATGCAACACATGGATGCATTTATCCACATATCAACCACAAAACAAAATGACCCTAGGTACTAACTGCAACTTATAGCTTTTATTCCACAAAAGAAAATGTAACCATTTAGGTTTTTCATGGTATTTAAATGGAGTTCATTCCCATATGAACAACTGCATCAAAATAGAATTTGAAAAGATTTCCAAGGAATGTGCATTTGCAGTGTGAACAACTTCAGAAAAGTCAAGATGCTATAAACAATTTTTGCTGCTCTAATTTTGTCTGAAAGAGCCAAATAGAAAAAATTTAGATTGTCAATATGTACAAGACCATGGTGGCTAGAACAAATATAATTTAGTTAAGGCCAAAAGATAATGTCCTTTTTAAAATTTTTTGGTAAACGATGTTGACATAGCTCAAAAATAAAACCCCCAATTTAGTCCCTAGTAATGGAGGTTTGGGAGGTAGACTGATTGCAGACCAAACATTTGACATTATTTATACAACGTGGCTACTGTTCAAATGTACAATCTCAAGGCTAATGGGCTGAAAGTTAACCACTGAACCATATAGCTCAGATCAATGATAAACGCCTTCAATTATCATTTAACTTGATGGATTTTGAGGTTCAGATAATCATTACAAATATTCCTTCCCATCACCACATATCATACAAAGTTGCTTATGTTTCATCCTTTATCGATATTGGGGTAAAAGGAACATTCATAGCCATTAGCCTGGTAATGACAATTCCTGTTCATTATATTTGAAATTATATATCAACCCTACTGCACAATACAATTCTTAAGAAACTTAACACACTCATCTTTCCTCTTGGTATACATCATTATATGGATGTGTGTATGCTAAAACATTGTAAGTTTCAAAGAAATTTCACATTGAGATGGTTACTGCTTTATCATAGGGCTTTTCTTGGCTAGATATGGACCTATGGCATACCCAATCCTACCACACCCATTAATCATGAGGCAAGGCCCAGGGTTTGCTCTATTACAGGGAATTGGTTCAATTTTCTACCATAGTAAGATTATCTTCCTCATTATTTAATGTCCTCATTTCAGAACAACTTTTTTGCTTTGGGGCAAGTAAATTTCAGAACAAGTTACTTGATGAGTTACACATGTATCTCCCACAAGCATAAATACAATACCTTCACAGCCTAGCTACCGATCAGTGTCGATTCCAACGTTTGTCTTACCACCAAAGAAGNTAGAAGATCATTAAAACAGTTTTTTCGCATCATGAGTTACACATGTATCTCCCACAAGCATAAATACAATACCTTCACAGCCTAGCTACCGATCAGTGTCGATTCCAACGTTTGTCTTACCATCAAAGAAGCATTCTCATGCACCAGTGGAAAAATATTTAACAAATCACTGTACTAGTAAATCTGTCATTCTGCATCCGAATGGTTTGGTGTTTAATACTAATAAGTGTCCACAAAATCATTTCAAAGACGCAATAATTCCTTCAGGTGCTGAATCCCAACAAAAATTTATGACTATGATGGAAAGGATGACTATGACGCTAACGGAAAGGCAGAAAGGAATTAGATCCATAAATAGACTTCTATACAAAAGGATGCTAATGGCTTTCACACCACTTTAACTCTGCATTTGTGGGTAACTCATTGCCTATTCTCTGCTTATTCATAAGATTTGACCAAATGAGGGATAAAAAATGGCAAGTAAATTGACTTATGTAAGTTAAACTCATAGCAAACTAGTTAATCTATTAATTGGTGAGAACTCATACTTTTCCACTTCCATTGTTATCATAAAATTATGCGAGCAGAGTGATAGGGGTCGTGTAGGAATTGGATAGATATTTTAAAGGAAAAATTTCATCAATGCCCCCTCTAGTTAGGCATAAATTCAAAGACACCCCCTCCCCATTTTGAATCTTCATTGCACTCCCTTCTGGTTTACACTGTTAAATTAAAGATACCCCTTACCATAACCGGCCGTTACTGACAATCAGAAAAATATTAATATCATACCAAATTTTTTATGAAATGCCAATTTTACCCTTCTTATTCCACATGAAACCCTTATCCCTCTCTCTCTCTCTCTCTCTCTCTCTCTCACATGCCTCAACAACTCAATCACTTAACTGCAAAAACGTGGCAATGAATCCAGGTCACTAGTCCTAGCATGAACTAATGAAAAATAATATAAAAAATTTAGTGCTATGAATCGGTGACACCGTAAAAAAAATAAAAAAAAACCAGTGACACCGTACGCTTAAACATAATATAAGAAAAAAATTCAAAATAATTTTTGAAAAAAAATTGGTAACATCGTACACTTAAACATAATATAAGGAAAAAATTTAAAATAATTCTTTAAAAAAAAAAAAAAATAACCGGTAACACCGTACGCTTAAGCATAATACAAAGAAAAAATTTAAAATAATTTTTTTACAATTTTTTTTTAAAAAAAACCAAGTGACATCGTACGCTTAAACATAATATAAGAAAAAAATTCAAAATAATTAAAAAAAAAAAACGGTGACACCGTACGCTTAAACATAATAGAAGAAAAAAATTCAAAATAATATTTTTTTTTTTAAAAAAAACCCGGTAATACCGTACGCATAAACATAATACAAAGAAAAAATTTAAAATAATTTTTTTAATTTTTTTTAAAAAAAAAANTAAAAAAAAAAATAAACCGGTAATACCGTACGCATAAACATAATACAAAGAAAAAATTTAAAATAATTTTTTTAAATTTTTTTTAAAAAAAAAAAATGGTGACATTGTACGTTTAAACATAATATAAGGAAAAAATTCAAAATAATTTAAAAAAAAAACGGTGACACCATACGCTTAAACATAATACAAGAAAAAAATTTAAAATAATTTAAAAAAAAAAACGGTGACACCTTATACTTAAACATAATATAAGAAAAAAAAATTAAAATAATTTTTTTAGAATTTTTTTAAAAAAAAAATCAGTGACGTCGTATGCTTAAACATAATACAAGAAAAAAAAATTCAAAATAATTTTTTTTTTTTTAATTTTAAAAAAAATCGATGACACCGTANCTTATACTTAAACATAATATAAGAAAAAAAATTAAAATAATTTTTTTAGAATTTTTTTTTAAAAAAAATCAGTGACGTCGTATGCTTAAACATAATACAAGAAAAAAAAATTCAAAATAATTTTTTTTTTTTAAATTTTAAAAAAAATCGATGACACCGTACACTTAAACTATATAATATTTATATATATTTTAATAGTACTACACATAACACTTGGAAATAGGAATATATATTTATATATAGTTTAATGAAAAATAATTGGTGAATATATAATTCTTTATAAAATTCATGGGTAAAATGGTAAAACGTCTATTTCCGTCACGTCTGTTAGCCGACCAACACTGACAAGGGAGGTCAGTGAAATTTCAGAAAAAACAAAGGGGTGTCATTGAAGATAGACCTATTTAGAGGGGGGGTTGATAAAATTTTCCCTATTTTAAATTAATCAATTTGACATCAGAATTATTACGATCTACATCAATTTGGTATAAGAGCCCAATTTCGATTCGTTTCAAAAGGGGAAAAAAAAAAGTTACTGTTCACGCGTTGTTCGTGCGCACTGTTTATCATCAACTCGNGTTGATAAAATTTTCCCTATTTTAAATTAATCATGATATTTTAAATTAATCAATTTGACATCAGAATTATTACGATCTACGTCAATTTGGTATAAGAGCCCAATTTCGATTCGTTTCAAAAGGGAAAAAAAAAAAGTTACTGTTCACGCGTTGTTCGTGCGCACTGTTTATCATCAACTCGGGATGGATTTCATTGCTACCTCTTGTGTTTAACAAAAAAACACCCTAGAAGAATTACAAAAATACCCCAGAAAGATTCAAAATTATAGAAACATCCTCAAAAGGTCTAAAAAAAATTACAGAATCACCCTCATACGTTTCAGCAAATTGCAGAAATACTATTAAGAAGCTTCAGAATTGCAGAAACATTCCCAGCAGATTCAAAAAATTACAAAAACATCACCTCAGAAGTTTCAAAAATTATAGAATCATCCTTAAAAAGTTTCAGAATTTTCTTTTGATTATGGTATGCATACTCCCATAGAAATTTGAGACTAATATTTTTTATTCATTGAAAAATTAGAGAANATTACAGAATCACCCTCATACGTTTCAGCAAATTGCAGAAATACTATTAAGAAGTTTCAGAATTGCAAAAACATTCCCAGCAGATTCAAAAAATTACAGAAACATCACCTCAGAAGTTTCAAAAATTATAGAATCATCCTTAAAAAGTTTCAGAATTTTCTTTTGATTATGGTATACATACTCCCATAGAAATTTGAGACTAATATTTTTTATTCATTGAAAAATTAGAGAATTTGAAAAGGGTCCAAAACATATTTTCTTCTATTTAAGTTTTCTCACTTCTCGTAATTATCAATTGCATTCTTGAACTTGTTTTTATACCATTCTCATCTTTCAAGAGTCATTCATGAGTTCCTCTAATGCACATGTTTCAAGAGTCTCACGTCAAGGTCATCATCATAGGAAGTCTAGAGATGTTTACATGGAGTCAACCTATTTGACCACACTAGTCAAAAATTCTTCTATATTTAGTGGCACTTTAGATCCCAATCAATTCTTGGATTGGTTAGCTAATTTAGAAGAATATTTTGATTGGCATAGCATGTCGGATTTCCATTGTGTCTGTTTTGCTAAATTGATGTTGGAGGGTTCCGCAAAGAGGTATTGACAAACAATCCAAAGAAACTTAGACCCCTTAGNTAGCATGTCGGATTTCCATTGCGTCCGTTTTGCTAAATTGATGTTGGAGGGTTCCGCAAAGAGGTATTGACAAACAATCCAAAGAAACTTAGACCCCTTAGGAGAATTACCTATCACTTGGGTTGAAATGAGATATAAATTGAAAGAGAAGTATTTGCCTACTTCCTACATGGATCAAGTTTATGACCAATGGCTCAATTTTAGACAACATTCTTCTAGTTTCTCTGATTACTTTGTTCAGTTTGATCATCTCATGTACTTGTGTGACATTGTTGAAGAACCTTGGACAATTGATCAGTTTATTNTGATTACTTTGTTCAGTTTGATCATCTCATGTACTTGTGTGACATTGTTAAAGAACCTAGGACAATTGATCAGTTTATTCTTGGGTTGAGACACAAAATTAGTAGGGAGGTCAAACAATACACTTTTAATACGTTAGTTGTAGCCTATCAATATGCTCTAAAGGTTGAGAGATTTTATAAGAAATCCAACTACACCTTGATGGGTTCTTAATCACAGCCTGCTGATAAGACATCTTCCAATTTTAATTCCATCACATATGAGTATCATGATTACTTAAACGATATCCATGTTGTTTCTGCATGCTTTCCTAATCCGAGTGTGACAAAGGATTTAGATATTTTAGTATCAGATAAAGAGGAAAATGTTACTCATACAGACTTTCAACTTTCTCATTCACTTTTGTCATATCAGAGTCCTCCTCCTTTGCACCCACAAGAGTTCATTTCGAAAGAAAGTGTGTGTGAGTCTTTACTTATGTCAATTCTTGAACCATCATTGGCCTTGAAAATTGTAAAAAAGTCTGAGTCTACACTTATGCAAGATATTATGCCAAATGAGTCATTTATTGCAGAATGTACTAGTGACTANAGAAAAGTCTGATGAGTCTAACACTTATGCAAGATATTATGCCAAACGAGTCATTTATTGCAGAATCTACTAGTGACTATCCAGTGTCTACTTGTCCAAGTCATCATGACTTTATTGCGGATTNAAAAAAGTCTGAGTCTACACTTATGCAAGATATTATGCCAAATGAGTCATTTATTGCAGAATGTACTAGTGACTATCCAGTGTCTACTTGTCCAAGTCATCATGACTTTATTGCGGATTCTTCCCAATCTAAGATTATTGACTTTGTTCCTCTGTCAACTACCAAGTGTTCGCTTGAGTTTGTACTTAATTATTTTCAGCACCAAAGCGTTATTGTTCCTTCTTTATCATTGAAGTCTTGCCCTACTGAATGCTTGTTGTTCAAATCTAATGGAAATTGTTTTCCTTTTCTTNTACCAAGTGTTCGCTTGAGTTTGTACTTAATTATTTTCAGCACCAAAGCATTATTGTTCCTTCTTTATCATTGAAGTCTTGCCCTACTGAATGCTTGTTGTTCAAATCTAATGGAAATTGTTTTCCTTTTCTTGAGTTTGGATCTAATACTTATTTGCTTAATTTTTCATTAAATGTTAGTATTAGTCCAGATTTTTATTTTGAGGACATGCTACTTAATCGATGTACTCTAGTGCCTCATATTTTATTAGCAGGTGTTCATACAGATGGAGATTCTTACATTTATCTTGATCGATGGAAAGAAGTTGATGGTTCTTTCATTCTAGATGAGGCATTATGTCATCTTCATCTTGCTCTCTTAGGGTACTTCTCCTTTGAAGGCTCTCCGGAGGAAAATGATAGGGATCATGTAGGAATTTGATAGATATTAATTTAATATTTATCTTTTAAGTATTTTCTTTTAACTTTTAAGGGCTTAGTTGTCATTGTGACTATTTATTTCTTTTAGAGTTCTTTTAGGATTTATGTTCTTCCTATATATATAGGGGATATAGTATTTGTTTTGGTAAACTTTGATTATTGAATATTCTTTCTAAAATTCTTCCTCTATTCTCATCCCCTTCTTCTTTTCTCATCCCTTTCTTCTTCCCTTCTCATCCCTAATTCTTCCNTTCTCTATTCTCATCCCTTTCTTCTTCCCTTCTCATCCCTAATTCTTCCCTAATACAATCTACATCACAGAGATATCATCAAAGAAATACAACTGCAAGCATGCAAATGAAAGAATACAAACTTCAATGAATATCCGTTGTGGCTACAGTTTATGAGTACATAGAAAGGATACTATACCTGCTTTAAGTAACATATGACCCCAACATTCACCAATTCCCCAACATCACTTTCTGTACTTTGTGACAGCTTTTCTCCTTCTATCCATGCAGTGGTGAGGACCTTTCTTGAAGTATATTTTTCATAAGTTCTTGGTACAACAACCTGAAAAGCTGCTTATCAGAAACTGCCACAAATTTATCATCATATTATATTAAAATACAAGACCACACAAATCTGTTTCCCCTACACAGGAATTATTTATTTTTGATGCATAAAATAACAACATAAGGCACCGGAAAGGACACAACCCATTTACAGGAGACGTGGTCATAGTTACCTGTGGAAGGTCTTTTTTNAGTTATTTATTTTTGATGCATAAAATAACAACATAAGGCACCGGAAGGGACACAACCCATTTACAGGAGACGTGGTCATAGTTACCTGTGGAAGGTCTTTTTTCATCATCTCAGCAAAGAGTGTTCCATTTTTACCCTCATTAACATAATCAAGCTCCTCAAAAAAACGAGCAGCCCATTCATCAACCAATCCAACCACGTCAATCGAGATCTGGAAAATAAGAAGGGGAAAACAAGAAGGGAAAGGGTATACCATTACTGTCGCTACCGTTTATCCCGTCAAATACAGAAATAACTAATTGAGAAGAGAAAAGTGACAACAGGACTTTAATCACCAAACACTACCTGAGGAAATTTCCGAAGAACCAAACCCAAGTTCCGTATGACATACAGATCAACAGTTACAGTCTCAAGGACGAAAGGCCTCTGTACTTTAACAGCTACTAAATCCCCATTTTCTTTCAGCCGGCCCTTATACACCTGTCCCAGAGATGCTGCCATGGATTTTCCACAACAAAAACGAGTGGAACAAATTTCAGAAACTAAGCAACAAAAGGCGAGACGGTGCTGATAAGCTTCAGAAATCAATCACATAAATTACTACAGCAGCACCTAGAGAGGACATTAATTATAGTCAAAGACACTTTGGTATTGATATTACCAGCAGCAATAGGAGAGGGAGAAAGATCAGAATAATTGTTTTGCCATGGCTGACCAAGCTCCTCCTCTATAAGAGCCATAGCAACGTCATCAGGAAATGATGGAACCTTCAAATATCATAGAAAACAAGGGTCAGCACGGAAATGACGTAAAGTGCACATCTAACCTAAAACTTCACAAAAAAAATTAAAATGTGCATTCCTCATCGACTTTACAAGTATACCAAGTATACATGTAACAATCAGTTAGACTATTGGAATGTATCCCTTTCCCCCCCAACCTCCTCCTTCCCAAAAAAAAAAAAAGAAAAAGAAAAAAACCACTACTAGCAAAAAAAAAAAAGAAAAAAAAGACAAGCTAAACAAGCAATATCGCAACAAGACCTCTGAAAAGCGAAAAGTAATTGCAAGATACTTCCATATAAAATAGCGAACATATACCAAGAGTCAAATGTCATCATTTATTCACTGGCAAGAAAGGAAAGATGCAAAACAATATTCAATCTTAATTCCACTCTGCCTGCAAAAGAGGCCAAATAGCATCGAGTGGAATGAAGTCTAAAGCTTTTAGGAAGAGAAAGGCATACAAGATAAGTTAATGTAATTAACAGATTTTCAAAGCATATGCATAAGATAGAACAGTTTGCACTGGGTAGAATGGACAGAAAATGACAATAACAAAAGTTTTGCCATTTTGCACATGCTATCCAGAAATAAGTATAACAAGGCCGAATAAAGTAGGGACAGATCAATGTTAGGTCAAAAGAGTTCCCCATGAAGATAAATGTTGCGATGCTAATCATCTTCAAAGAAAGCTGGTTGACTATTTGTTTCTATTTGTGAGTTTTGGCCATATCCCCATTTAAAATTCTATGATCTACTTTACACATTGAAAATTCTAAAGGATCAGCATGCACTCCGTTGAGATCATCATGAGATTTTCATAGTGTTACAACATAGGAGGGCAATTAAAAGGCAACTACATTGTTAAATCCTTCAGCCTTTTCAACTTAACCCATCGTTCTTTGATTTTTCCATCCAAATAATAGCTGCCAGTACAGTTAATCACCCTCGCCAACTGATTAACGGCTTTTTATAGGAAACAAGAATAAATATTGTGGAATTTATAGATCAGAGCTGATTTAGAAACAAAAATAATAATTACGCTATCTAAAACCGATCCTATTGCTGCTAAAACTAATTCTCAATAGGAAAATACAATTTGTAAGAGTATCAGCTAGGGACATTGGAAAATATTCAACTTGGTTATATGTAGAAGTGATATTGAATATTAAAGCGCATTTAGAGGAAGCTCTCTTACCTTGTCACAAAGTTTTTGCAGTTCAATCATTGCAACAGGTGAGAGTATATCTGGCCGAATGCTCAATGCTTGCCCAAGTTTTATATATGCTGGACCCAAAGAGGTTACAATTTCCCTTAGCTCAATTGCTCGAGCAACTTCATTCTGATTATTGGAACATATATATCTAATTAGAGGATAAATGAAATCCAGAAAATAAATATTGAAAATATCAATAAGCCAAATTTGAACCAATAAATGAATGTTCTATTGTGCCTGAACTAAAATCTGCAACTGTAAACAAGAAGAACTGGAAGGTGACAGTATTAGCATTCAATGGTGCAGAGCAAATCAAAATGGATCTATTTAGCAGTTCAAATGACCAAGCCTATGGTCATGTATAGTCAGGTTTCCTTATGGTTGTCACTTTACTTCACTATTCTTAAGATTTGGAAGTATAGGCCCCACAAAAGTGAATAATAAAAAATACAGGTACTTTGGCGAATCTATGGTTCATTGTGACCAAAAACTCACTTTTCATTTTGCTTTTCTCTATCATTTTACAAGGAGAAGGTAGTTTTCAAATCAATACCAAACATGCTTTCATATCTTCCGAGCCTGGTGCAAACAGTGAACTATGGTTCTCCTTTTCTAGAATTTTGAATACGTATTGTTAACAAGCCTTATGTCTCTCCTGCATATAGATTGATTCCATGAGTATATGTAAAACTCTCTATTTATATTTTGAAGTCCTTGTTTAGAGATAAACAAGAACATATAAAGCAACCTTTCATATGTCATGCAATATTTTATATTTTTAATTGAATAAGAACGATAAGTCTAGAACGCTTGCTAGCCAACATTCAAACTCTTAAAGCAAACCTATGTTTAAGTATGATCCTTGAGAAATCTATGTGCATCCTAAGACACTATTCTTTCCACCTTTCTAGAATATCCTCTTCACTTTATTGGCCCAGTCCAATTCGATCCGAGCTCTCTAAAGACTTACAAATTTTATTTTGGCTCCTACCCTAATACCTAGCAACACAGTTATGAATAGACTCATTATGCAAAAACGCTGCAACAATGCCTATTTATGTGCATTTTATATTGTTAAGTCCAAAATTTTATTAAAATCCAGAACTGCTACTGCTCATTAAAACTTAAGGGAGTTTGGATGAAAACAAAACCAACAGCTGCAAATCCTACAACAGATGAACTAACACTAATTTCAAACCTTTTTACATGATGTCCCCTGTGGCTCTCACTCACACTATCATGCAGCTTATTATAGCATGGGCCTTGTAACCTTCTAGTTTTGTGACTTCTTAACCCTTTGAAGATTGCTGTCATGGATTTTTATCAATAGCTCTACTTATGAGATTGGTTAAACAGAAATAAGAATGGAGAAACTTTTAAAAGGAGATAAAGAGAGAAAAGGAGGAAAATTGACTAAGCTGATTTGGTCATTTGCAACAGACAAACAAGACGATAATTGCACCCATGAGGAGATTGATGTAGTCTACCTTACCATTAATATTCAAGAAGGAATATACCAAAAATTGACATGGATTGGGCAATAATGAAAGTAATGATGGCATGGAGTTTGAAGAAAACTATTTCACAAACAGGACCACAATCAACTGTCTGACAAAATGCTGAGTATCAAAATAGCTGGTTTAATGGTAAAAAAACCCATATATTTTTCTGCCATACGAGAAGCTAGTGTCCCATATCTTTTAAGAAGTAAAAAATAGTCAAACCCATGTAACAACAGGCCAATGAAGGCAAACGCAGCATGAAAGACACACCTGTTTGACCTTCTTGTTTATCACATCCCAAGCAAGACGTGAAAGAAAACCTCCAGCAACAGACAATAGCTGAACAATACGGGTTGCAACAGCACGTGGTCGTTTTCCCCAATATGCAGAGATGGTAGCAGGATCATACACCAAAGGCAAAAAATCACTGCTTTCATCAACCTGATGAAGCACAAAATAGTGCATAAGAATACAATCAACAATTCATTGGAGATGGAAGAAAGGCATCCAATTAGAAAACCTAATTGATTCATACTTCAGATGCATTGAGCTTTAAGCATAATGACAACATCCATATGCATCCGTAGAGAATCACCTTGGTGTGTTATGAAATACATAGCCACTTGTATCCTACATATTTAAGTTTCACCAGTCTGCATTTTGCTACATTTTCCCCACTGAAAGCACAAAGGTTCCTCATTAGTCTTTGACTCCTCAATCCTTACACAGACCAAGTTTAATATTCTGTCATGTTTCCACTACTACAAGCCAGTATTCCACATTTATTGTTCACCATACTTGTCCGCATCTCAAGATGACTGAAGTTAAAGTGTGTGTATAAACATACAAAAACACGTATATATGCACATGCACACACTTACAACCACACATTCAAATGCATAGGCTAAGAACCGCCAAAACCCACAAGTATGGCCATGCCTCGGGAAACTTGGAACAGATATACAAAAATGGGAGGGATGCATGGATCTCAGACCAAGAGTGATACTGCCTGAATCACATTTTAACTTTCAAGCTGTGTAGAAATCAAATTCAACATCAGTTGATTTGCTATCATAAAAAACTCAAACTTCATATCCTTATAATAGCTTTCATCACTTTACACCTGGCGTTTTGCGAAAGTCGAGAGACAGTAGAATTGTCAAAACTGCATGAAATTATTGTTGTCCACAACCACAAGCACACAATCAGATCAAATTACACTCTATTTAATACATCTGACAAGAAACCAAGAACGTTTATTAGAGAAGTTCATTAAAAAAAATCCGAGATGATTTTTAAATTAGTAACACAAACAATCATTGTATGATTTAATCACCAAAATTTGCTATTGCTGAAATCAAATACTATGCAATTAGAACAAATANGAGTTTTGTGAAAGTCGAGAGACAGTAGAATTGTCAAAACTGCATGAAATAATTGTTGTCCACAACCACAAGCACACAATCAGATCAAATTACACTCTATTTAATACNGCGTTTTGCGAAAGTCGAGAGACAGTAGAATTGTCAAAACTGCATGAAATTATTGTTGTCCACAACCACAAGCACACAATCAGATCAAATTACACTCTATTTAATACATCTGACAAGAAACCAAGAACGTTTATTAGAGAAGTTCATTAAAAAAAATCCGAGATGATTTTTAAATTAGTAACACAAACAATCATTGTATGATTTAATCACCAAAATTTGCTATTGCTGAAATCAAATACTATGCAATTAGAACAAATAACAAACCTCAACTAGGCGGAGCTTGATATTGTTGTCAGCAAATAGCTCATCTCTCAAATTTTGACCCCTGAGCCCCCTCATAAGTATTGCCAAATCCTCATTTTCTTCCATCTGTGCTCTCACTCGTTTGATCTCTTTCGAAACGTCTCCGACTCTCTGTCCCATTCCCAATTCCACACTATCAGTAACCATCAGCAGACTAATATAAAACAAACTGGATAAAATATAATGGTAGTCTATGAATAAAATGCTCAGCCTTCCTTTTGTCCCTCTTAGTGACACCTTAATATCAAAAAGCAGGTAGCCCATCAAAAAGTACACTGAAAAAAGTACCAAATGTTCTTACCCAAAAAAAAGAAAAAGGTAAAAAAGCCAAGGAATTGAGCATAGAGGATCTATGGAGTGATAAAGGAGCATTAACAATTCGAGGGACGATCTGGGTGGATTGTGTGGCTGCATAGAAATATCTTTAGGACTAGAAAACTAGCTTTATCGCTCTATATCATAAGAAATAAATTCAAAAGCGAAACGAGGCCAATAGTTTTCGATCCACCAGTTCATTATACCCAACCAAATCGACTTTCTCACACTAAATTGGCAGTTTGTTTGGCTGCTAAGAAAATGCAAGAAAAAAACACTTAATTCCTAACTTAAAAAAAAAACTAGATTGCAGTGACTTACAGTAGAAACTCCATTGACCTGCTTCGACGACGGTGATTTGGGAGACCCATTGATGACTTTAACTGTACTTGAAGAAGACTTGGTTTCTGTTGGTCTCGGCTCGATAGCCACGGCGCGTACGACACCGTGTCGTCTCCGAATCCTAACAACTCTCGGAAGCGAATTGTGATCGATTCTCTTCTTTAACGTCGAAGCCGAGTGAGTCCCAGCCGGAAAATTCCGCCGGAAGGGTTCGATTCCGCAGCAGACAAGCTGACTCGCTGCGTCCATGGCGGAATCAAAAATAAATAACTAAATAAATTAGAACACTCTATGTACGAACTGTGTATGTATAGCTCTGAGCTCTGGTTTTGTATGAGAGAGAGAGAGTTGAACAGTGTATGAATGTGTGTGCAAAGTTACTTGTGAGTTAAGGGTGGATCTGGTCGTTGGGAGACACGTGGCAGAATGAGGAGCAAGGAAAGGGTGGGTTTAAATAACGGGCATTTGAGTGGAGCGGTGTGGAGTGCGTTTGTGCCCTTCGTCCTTCTCCGCGGGGTGGTGTGTGTGTGTGTGTGGAACAAGGCCTATGTGTGTTCCTCTAATTTGAGGTTTTATTTGGGTGGTTGAAAAAAAATGGACGAGCATGTCACCAACTTCTGTAATGGGTGATAGTGGGCTCCACTTTGGTAGATGTCCGGGAGTACCGAGGGTTGTGGAGACAACGACGGTGGGAGGTGACAATTGAGGTCGGGGAAGTAAAGGTGTGGCAATGTGAGTTAAGTTATAAATGCATCATGCTGTGTTTAAATTGTATCATGTCGATGATAAGTGACTGTAGTAAAAGTGCTTATGGCGACAACAACGGCGGTGATATGAATTGAGTTATTACTATGTCATGATGTTTAAATTATATCATGTTAAAACTTGTTTAATTAATGCTCAAATTATTTATATATGTTATGCATAAATCGTGATTTAGTTGATTTGTGTTGCCCATCATTTTACATATCTAAATAGGTTTTAATTGTTTATAACCCAAACACGATAAGACTTGACCAAAACTTACTAATTGTAAGTTGTGTTTATAATTGTCTAGTTTAGTGAGTGAAGACCGCGATTGTTAGCGAAGATAGTGGTATAGATGACTTGGTGGTAATGACGACATGATTGTAGTGTTGGGATGATGGTGGTGTAGGTGACTTCATGGAATGACTANTCTGTGTTGCCCATCATTTTACATATCTAAATAGGTTTTAATTGTTTATAACCCGAACACGATAAGACTTGATCAAAACTTACTAATTGTAAGTTGTGTTTATAATTGTCTAGTTTAGTGAGTGAAGACCGCGGTTGTTAGCGAAGATAGTGGTATAGATGACTTGGTGGTAATGGCGACATGATTGTAGTGTTGGGATGATGGTGGTGTAGGTGACTTCATGGAATGACTACAACAATTATAGTGTTGGGATGATGGCGGTGGTGGGAGGATCCAATGGTAATGGTGGCATTGTGTGGTGGTGGCGGCAACATGTGGTAGTGGAAAGCGATCGTGGTTGTTATGGTAGCAATTGTGCATATTAAAATGTGTAATGCTTTGCATACAAGTATTTTGAAGAAAATACAATGCTTTTATCTTGTTCTACTTATTTTTAAGGGGTTAAGCCACTTCCAACTTATTTATTAGCACTTGAAATAAATTATGTTAACCACCATTTTTTTAATATTAAAAGTATTTATTTTATGTCATAAATCTAATTTTTTGACTAAATTGTAAGTCCAACAAAACACATTTTTCAAGTAATAGAAATACTAATAAGGAAATAAAATTAAGCACTATACTCAGACAGGTATTTTTATTGGACTTAACTAAGGCACCAAAAAAAAAAAATTAATATTGTACCTTAAAATTTTACTACATTAATGGCTGTTTTTANTGTTTTATGTCATAAATCTAATTTTTTTGACTAAATTGTAAGTCCAACAAAACACATTTTTCAAGTAATAGAAATACTAATAAGGAAATAAAATTAAGCACTGTACTCAGACAGGTATTTTTATTGGACTTAACTAAGGCACCAAAAAAAAAAATTAATATTGTACCTTAAAATTTTACTACATTAATGGCTGTTTTTATAACAATAAAATTTACAACTTTTGTGGGATGATTTGTCACTTTTGTGGTATTTGCAACATTTTAAGATTGATCGCAATTATCAAAGAAGTGGTAAAAATAATTAAGGAAAATTATATCTAAATTTTTTAAAGTTTGTCATTTAATCACTTAGACCCCTAACATTTAAAATATTACACACAGACTCTCTAAAGTTTGTACGGTCGTAATACTTAGACATCTATCGTTAATGTCTGTTAGTATATCTATTAATAAATTACGTTTAGACCATCTAAAGTTTGTAGGGGTAAAACACTTAGACCTCTCAATATTTAAAATATTACACTTAGACTCCTTATTAATTACAAAATTAACATAATTTGTTAAACGATCAAATTACCTCATTTAAANTGGTAATACTTAGACATCTATCTGTTAGTATATCTATTAATAAATTACGCTTAGACCATCTAAAGTTTGTAGGGGTAGAACACTTAGACCTCTCAATATTTAAAATATTACACTTAGACTCCTTATTAATTACAAAATTAACATAATTTGTTAAACGATCAAATTACCTCATTTAAAGATATAAAATATCGTGTCTAATACAGTTTAACTCATTTAATTTTTTTTGTTTTATTTCAATACACGATATAATTGTATACAAATGAGTGTTGAATTGAATTTTTTGATATATTTATACTAATTACTATTTTTTCTCAAAAAATTAAAATTTTGTTTAATTTTTATGTCAATAGATGATATAATAGAATATACAAATACGTTAATCAGACTTATTTCATATGTTCATCTTTCATGATGAAAAAATTAACCCAAGATGAAAAGTTCATTTAGTCCAAGTCCAAACTAACGTGAAGGTTGTCTAAATTTTAACATCAAAAGTACTAATTATATTTTTTTTTAAGAAAAAATTAAATTTTTAATTTTAATTTTATTNATTACAGTTTAACTCATTTAATTTTTTTTGTTTTATTTCAATACACGATATAATTGTATACAAATGAGTGTTGAATTGAAGAAAAAATCCGAACAGTACTAATTATATTTTTTTTTAAGAAAAAATTAAATTTTTAATTTTAATTTTATTTCAATAATTGACATAATAAATCATGAATTTTAGTTATAAAATTTATAATATTTAATATTCTAACTTTAATTAAAATATTTTTAATATAAATATTTTAAAATTGAAGAATCTAAGTATTATACATGTCAAATTTTAAGCATCTAGATGTAATTCACTAATGAATATCCGAACAGACATTTGTCTATGTATTATGCGTATACAAATTTTACAGAATTTGTGTGTAATATTTTAAAAGTCAGAGGATTTAAAGTGATTAAGTGACAAACGTCAAGGTTTAAGTATAATTTTTCCAAATAATTCCCAAAAAAATAATAAAAAGGCATAAAAAATAATAAAAATGCCCACAAAAATGATAAATGACTGTACGGTACTGAATATTTTTTTTCTCGCCGTTGAGTGCATTCATGAGCTCATGTACAAGGTGTAACTGTTAAAAAAAATATTAGATACTAGTCGTGGACACATCATCCATGATTTACAAAAACTCTCTATTCCTGCTTCTCCTTCCTCACCCACTTAAACAGCACATTAATAAGAATATCATAAATCAAAAACAAACGAAACAGGAAACAGATTTTATGACATTTCAAGAGGTTGAGGTTGACCAGATTTGCAGTCATCCAAGTATCATCCACTACATATTCGAAGAATTCAGAAGGGAAAAAAAAAAGGCTCATGGATAAAGAGAATTCTTTAACTACAAGAGATTCCAGCACATCACCTATACATTTAACCCAAAATACACAAGCCCTTTCCGGTCCAAAGAGGCTTGGATAAAAGGGAGGAGCGATAAGAGAAAGAGATTCGCAGATGGAACAGAATCAAAGGGTGAACCAATCCAACAGAACAATCCTAGTCAAGCATGGCAGCAAGAGTGTTGACAAAATCGGCACAAATTAACATTTGAAGCCATGGCAGACAGACAGAATAATGATGAAAATCAAGGCTATGAGGATACCCAAGACAATCAGCTTTATCTTCATGTTCTGGAACCACATCTTCCTCCTCATCTTGGTCCCCTGCTGCCTAAAATCTTGAGCCTGAAACAAAAAACGAAGTTCAACAATCATACATTAAATCACATCACGCTTGTATAGATATCAGGCGCTTGCGTTTCGCCTCTCAAAACTCATTCGACTGAACTAAGGCGACCAGCCGCAACAAGGAAAGAGAGGTATTCCAAACTTGAAGTAGAAAGGACACTCTACAGAAGTAGGTCGGGGTAATAAAGTAAAACAAAGCAAAGCAACAGCAATATCTCCATCCTCATCTCAAACAGTTTATCAAGTCTAAACTTCCCATTTGCACCAGGCCCCCAAATAAAGCCACCCTTTCTGTCCAACAGCGTTCTGATAGCTTCGGAAGGCAGGCTAATTACAAAACAGAAACCAACTTACACGCAATTGCAACACTTGGATATATCTTTTAGTTGAATTAGCTACAAAACACATGCAGAATTACTCAGACTAACCTGCGATCGGAGGTTCTCAGTTTTGTCCACCAGCAGCTCAATCTTCTCTCCACGGTCAAGAACCTGCACGAGCCGAGGTTCTTTAACCAAAAATACAGTGTATGGATGCTCAGAAACAAACATGCATTGAAAGGCTTATTTTTTGACTCAATAAAGCTCGAATTAAGTCCTACAATTAAAAGACAACCTCAAAAACCCTCCTTACCTTCTCAATGTTTTCCATCATCACTCCCTTAACTTCAGAAACCTGAGCCTTAACCTTGGCAAGCTTGCTGACTTCTTCTGGATGGTCTGCACAGTACTGCATGTGCTCCTTCAGTTTGGGCCTACAATATCAATAGAAGGCTTAAGCAATATCATCAATAGAAACAGCAAAACGCATACCTCTTATAAAAGTGAAAATGAGAGATATACCCAAACTCTTTTTTCAGGCTGTTGGCCACAGCAGTTGCAGCTTTCCCTCCCCCATATTTCTTGTTGAAATCTTCCTTCGCTCGCTCTAAAAAGGCAATGGGAATTTGCCTGCCGGCAGACTCAACTGCAACAACACAGTAGGCTGCATTGTCCAAATGCAGTTGCAGAATTAATACATTTTCAATACGCAAAATACTATTATTCTTGACAAAAACATTAAACATAATTCAGATAAAAACCGATTCCATAAGCAAGATTGCCTCAACAAAAGTGATTATGAACAAAAGTGAATATGAAGCACCAAGGAGTACAAACAAAATACAGAACAGAAGTGGAAAGAATGTGCTATTAATGAAATTACAGCAACAAATGTGGTACCACATTTATAATTTTAAAATTCAAATTCTTTGCATAAAAACATTATCAGTTGACTGATGAATGCGCATGCGATATGCAGAGTGAATTGAGAAAATACTAAGCAATTAGGTATTAGACTCAATAAGGCCAACAAAGAATTTAGAGCAATATGCAAAGTACAGGAAAAAGGGGAAAAACAAAACAGAAAGAAAGACAATTCAATCATCGTGTCACTTTCAATAGGTTGGAATTGAAATGACAGNGTTCGCTCTAAAAAGGCAATGGGAATTTGCCTGCCGGCAGACTCAACTGCAACAACACAGTAGGCTGCAGTGTCCAAATGCAGTTGCAGAATTAATACATTTTCAATACGCAAAATACTATTATTCTTGACAAAAACATTAAAACATAATTCAGATAAAAACCGATTCCATAAGCAAGATTGCCTCAACAAAAGTGATTATGAACAAAAGTGAATATGAAGCAACAAGGAGTACAAACAAAATACAGAACAGAAGTGGAAAGAATGTGCTATTAATGAAATTACAGCAACAAATGTGGTACCACATTTATAATTTTAAAATTCAAATTCTTTGCATAAAAACATTATCAGTTGACTGATGAATGCGCATGCGATATGCAGAGTGAATTAGAAAATACTAAGCAATTAGGTATTAGACTCAATAAGGCCAACAAAGAATTTAGAGCAATATGCAAAGTACAGGAAAAAGGGGAAAAACAAAACAGAAAGAAAGACAATTCAATCATCGTGTCACTTTCAATAGGTTGGAATTGAAATGACAGGCTCAAATAGTAAAAACCTTTACTTTAGATTTACTGAGTAAACACTTCTGCAAATAAATCTTAAGAGGTCTACTAGAATGATCCTAAACAAACATTTCATGTGGATAGCCTTAGAAAGCTGACTAACTGCTGCAGAACATAAGAAGCCCAAGAAAAGGAATAGTATGAAAGGAGAACAGTATAACACCTTAAAATGGTTCATTACAAGGCTGACTTTCACTAAGCTTGAAGTTTGTTAACTGTTTTGCAGACATTTTCTTTTTTTGTAAAGCATTGTCGTTAAATAAAGGGTAAGCAGTAAAGCACATAAGTTTCAACATAGGAGTCTTTTGCTAATTTTCCCCTTGAGCAGTCGGATGGGCGGCCAATAACTGCTGCAAACCATTGGAAGGCCAAGAAAAGGAAAACAATGAAAGGATAAATCTGGAAATTGGGTCATTTTTAAGGTTGAATTTGACTAAATTGAAAGTCTGTCATTGTTTTCTTATGGTTTTTACAAAGAATTGTCTTTTGATCGAGGCTGGACAGTAAAAGACTTACTGTCCAACCTCGGAACCTTCTTTTTCAGAGTAAGGCAGCAGGCAGGTGTCATCAACGGGAAGCTCTTGGCGAGGAGGCTTTAGGATAAGTTGCCAAAACAAAGGGTCAACCCGTTCAATAAATTCCAAATAAAGGATGGGCAGCACGTGGAAAACGTTTTTGGTCCTTCAGAAAGCAAAAATGCATGCAGGGTAGAGGTTGGCAGTTAATCTATCCTTATAAATCCCCCTTGACAAGCCCAACCACCTTTCTTGAAATCTGCATCTTGTGTCAAAACACAACCTTAAATAACCCAAACATCGTCCACAGCACCTGATGTTCAGTTCAGTGCATAACACTAATTTATCCTAAGTATTTAGGTTAGGCTTTGTTTTGAGAGAAGGAAGCGGTCTTAATGCCCTTATGGTTGAATTAAGTGGGTGCTTTCTGACAGAGTTTGGAATTCCTATTTTTAGGTTTATATTTGAATGCTTCTCAGTTAATTAAGATTTTTTTATGAATATTTGCGCCGACACCTTGTGAATGCAGACTGGCCACCGATAAAAATATCAGTAGCTGCCATTGAATTGCAGGGTACAGAATTGGGTGATACGCACGAGATGCAACAGAGAATAAGTAATTGAATATGATGTTGGATTTAGGATATAAATCGGGGTGTCATGATTACTCAGATGAATCGGCCGATTCTCATACAAGGAACGTAGAACGGTATCAGGACAGGAGGTGTTGGATACTTGGATTGGATCCAAGACGTATTAGTCTAGGCCAAATTTTTGAACCATGAAAGTGACTCTCCCTATCACTCAAAGAAAGCAAGGAAGTTATGATAGCCATGGCGTTAATCACCACGTTTGGGACTAAAGGACATTTTCCAAATTTGAGGTATCTGTTGTAGTGAGGATGGAATCTCATCCAGATAGTCAACCAGCATCACTAAAATTCAGTTTTGGTGATCTTGGAATCTGGTTCCAGAATAGTTGACTTCCATGGGGTGAAAATCCACTAACATGCCAAACAGAGTAACGAACCAACTAAATTTGCTGCTACCCCAGGATCCCTCAAAA